TGGGCACCGAGTTTTTCAGTTGAGAAAGATGAAAACATTCTGAATGTGTATAGTGGTGATGGTTGGACAATGTTAATGTCCTTAATGCCACTAAACTGGACACTTAAAAATGGTTAAAATGGAAAATCTTACATATATTTTACCACAAAAAGGGGGGGACCACCCTGAAAGAAAGCTATTATCATTCCTGTTCTATATATAAAAAATGGATGATTTGTGAGATTATAACAATTAATGACACTCAAATTGGAAGTATCAGAAGCCACATCTAAAAACATATTAAACTAAACCCACCCCAAAAAAACCACAAGATACCACTTCACACCCATTAGGAGACTGTAATCAAAAAGTCAGATAATATAGAGAAATCTGAACTCTTTTAACACATTGCTTATGGGAATGTAAAATGGCGTGGCTGCTTTGGAAAAGTCTGTTTAATGGCAGTTCCTCTCTAATGATTAAACTTAGTCACCATTTCATCCAGTAATTCCACTCCTAGTGTGTAACATGAGAAATGAAAACAAATTGAAAAACTTGTACACAAGTGCTTTTACCAGCATTATTCATAAAACAACCCAAATGTCCATCAGTGGAATAAAGGATAAACAAATGTGGTATATCCATGCAATGGAGTATTACTTGATCTTAAAAAGGACCAAGTACTGATACATGTTAGCAACAACATGGATAAACTCGACAACATTATGCTGAGAAAAGCCAGTCACAAAAGTCCACATATTAATGTTACATGATTCCAGTCCTATGAAAATCCAGAACAGAGAAACCTCCAGAGACAGAAAATTGATTATTGGTTGCTTAGGGCTGTAGGTTGGGGCTAGTGGGGGGACGGGATGATGGCTCAAGGGTATGGGGTCTCTTGAGGTGATGAGAATATTCTAATTTTTTTCAATTTTATTGAGATAAGTTGACAAAATTGTCCATATTTAAAATGCACATGATTTGACAGAGGTAATACTTTGTGAAGTGATTCCATTAATCGGGCTAATTAATACATTTACCTCACATAGCTGTTTGGTTTTTTCAGTGACAACATTTAATACTTTCTTAGAAAATTTCAAGTACACCACACAGTATTATTAACCACAGTCATGCTGCTGTGTACTATATTCCCAGAGCTTAATCATCTTCTAACCGAAGGCTTGTACCCTTTGGCCAACATCCCCCATCACCACCCACCAGCCCCTGGTAGCCACCATTCTACTCAATCTTTATGAGTTCAGATCTTTTTTACATCCCAAATCATACAGTATTTGTCTTCCTCTGCCTGGCTATTTCATTTAGCCCAAGGTCTTTTGTTTCATCCATTTTGTTGCAAATGGCAGGATTTCCCTCTTTCATGGCTGAATAATATTACCTTGATTATATATGTGTATCACACTTTCTTCATCCATTAATCTGTTGATGGACAGGTAGAGTGTTCCTGTATCTTGGCTAATGAGAATAATGCTGCAATAAACATTGAGTACAAGTATCTCTTAGACATACTGATTTTGTTTTCTTTGGATATATACCCTCAAGTAGGATTGCAGGACACATGGTTGTTCTATTTTTAATTTTTTGAAATACCTCTATACGGTTTTCTATAGTGGTTGCAACAATTTGCCTTACGACCAATAGTGTACAAGTGTTGTCTTCTCTTCACATCATCACCAACACATTTGATCTGCATGTTTTTTATCAAAGCCATTCCAACAGGTGTGAGGGGCTATCTTGACTGCATTTCCCTAATGATTAGCGATGCAGAAAATTATTTAACTGTTGACCACTTATATGTGTTCTATGAAAAAAATGCCTATTCAAATCCTTTGCCCATTTTAAATCTCATTTTTTTGCTATTGAATTGTATAAGTTTCTTATATTTTTTGGGTAGTAACCCCTTATCTGATACATGGTTTGCAATACAGGGCTTAGGGGTGTCAGCCCCCCCAAGCTGAAAATCCTCGTGAAACATTTGACTCCCCAAAACTTAATAGCCTAGCACTGATCACAAGCCTAACTGATAACACTCAATTAACATATTATTATATGTATTATGTATGGTATTCTTATAACAAAGCTAGAGGAAAGGTTTTTTCAAATTGTTGCAACTCTATAAAGAAATTTCCAATATATTTACAGAAAAAAATCTGCATATAAGTGGCACCATGCTGTTCAAACCCCTGTTGTTCAAGGGTCAACTGTACTACCTAGTAACAAACTAAACAAGAATAAGGAAAATGGAAGGTATTGGGTGTGCTGGCAGGCTGGGGTGGGGGTTGGTGTCTTGTTGACTCATGAGTTTTTTGGGGTTCAGATCCCAAAATTGCACTGGGTGGTAAACCTCATTTGGAGTATGGTTTCTCTGGAGGGGAGCCCTCCAGGGCGCTGACTGGTGGAGGAAGGCACAGGAGTAAGCTGCCAGCGCTGTGGGGCGTTTGTGGAGAGTGGGGTGGGAAGTGCAGGCGAGGGCCCCATCATCCCCTACACAGAGTTGCAGGCAACCCCTCCATCTTATTATTGCTGTTGATCCTCCCCAGGATATGCTGCACCTGGTGGCCCTGAGTGTCGTGCCCTCTAGGTCACTTTTAAATGTCCCTTTTCCTGTACAGAGTAGAAGTACCCTGACTCTAAGTGGCTTGTGAAGGGGATCAGGCTCACTGCCTGGCACAGCCACCTTCACCCAATCCTTGGGACTTTCAGCCACCTTGCTCTCACCTTCCAAGAACCTCAGCAGCTCCAATTTTAGGGCCTTTCCAGAATTCTGAGGCTCTGTGTTATGTTTGGCCTTCTGGCTTACATCTGTTTATCTCCTTACCTCCATTTTAATGTGGCTTCAGATGGAGTGGAGGTAGATGTGTGTCCCATCTGCCATGTTTAACCAGATGAACACAGCAAAACCAATGGTCTGCTTTCTAAAGGGCAACTAGAGTTCAGCTATGTCCCCCTAGGAATTTTAAATGATAATCTATGAGACAAAATATCAATTTACTTGGTTTTATAGGAATATACCAGTTTAATGTGGTCGTCTGTACAGACACACTGTATGCCTGTACTTTATGGTTAATGTAACATATAGTCACAATAGTTAAGAATTTTAACTATATTACCTAGTAGTGATGGAATCTGACATAATTGTTTAATTACTAATCTTTAAATAAGCCAAGTAATCCTAAAAAAAAAAAAATTATAAAATGCTTATTGGAGTGACCTGTTGAGAGCCTTATAAAAGACTGCACAGCCTACTTTGATAAAAGAATGAGTTAAAAAAACCCTCAAAAAATTATTTATAATTCTAACATGTGGCAAAGTTTGAATTGCTTTTTGACAACTTATTTCTTTCTTCAATTCCTAAGAACCCATTGAAAAGGTTAAAAACAATTGCCAGGCTAAAAAACGTCTAGCATATAGTTTACTATTACATTCATAGTTTTTTACCCTTGAAGGACAAATAAACCCACAGTGCAGTGGGGGTGTGCCAGCTGCTGAGTCCCTTGAGTTCCAGAGTCCCTGGTCCTGGTCAGCTGGCTGCCCTTTCCCAGCTCTCACTGCGACCTGTGGGGAGTCCTGCAGACTGTAGCCGCCCTGTGGCTGCAAGAACTTCTGGCCATCAGACTGAGAGCCTCGGATCTGGTCCACCTGAACTCGGGAACCCTGAGGGCCAGGCGTCTGTCCGTGGTGACTGATCCTGGAGCCGAGCGCCACAAACCGGTCCTGCTGTGCATCTGGTAGCAAGGAACTCTGTAAACACAAGGCTGTGTTTTCACAGGCACTAGGTCCTTTTCAGAAGTAAAAATGACTATTAAGCCTTATTCATGTGCGATGCTACACAATCCATCACGTAAGACCATTAGTGAATGACCCTCATTTTCTTTCCAGGGAAGTTAATTCCAGTAGCAAAACTTGGACCAGTATCTGTGGTATAAGAAAAACATTACACCTAGGAGCAGTACCCTGCTGACTTCCTTAGAGATTTGATTCCAAACTATCTCCAAATAATCTAATTTATTTCCTTCATTGTTTGTCCCCACAAACTATTACAAAGGGGTGGAAAAGCATGGTTTCATGTTGTAAACTGCCCTTAAATGACCAAAAGTCACACAACATTACTGAAATGGAGCAATGCTTATTTTTAAAATACAGGAGACACAACAGAGCAGCTTCCCACCTGCACTCCGGTACCTGCCTCCTCTGGGGAACGCCCTCCTGGTCCGTGTCTGCTGCTGAATCGTTAACTATCACTGGATGCCCTAGGGGCATGGAAAGTTTGTGGCATCAAATCAGACACTGAGAAAGCACATTATAAACCATACAGAGCTGTTTGTTCTTTTCCTGCACACCTGGAGTAAGGTAAGCAGGGACAGAACGCAGAACCCTGGGCTGGGCTTTGCAATGGGTCCCCAGGGCCGCCCTTTCTGATCTCACTTCTGCTGGCTGTGAGGCAGCCGGCTGTGTGGGCAAGGAGGTCTGCGCTTAGGTTCAAGTCAGCACGTAACTCCCTTGAATGATTCTGCAGTTCTCCTGGTACCAAATTATGTCCGAGCATGAGCTGAACGCTGAACCCTGACAGGCCAGGTCCCATTGGGTGTCTGGCCCTGGCATTATAAAGCCTCACAGGACCTGCAGAGGCAGTTCAAGTGGGAAATGACTCCCACCCACACTCTCATTTTATAAGTCGGTTTCTCTGTGGCCACACGGTGACCACGGCAGAGCTGGGATCCTAACTCAGGTCTTGGGACCCCAGTATAGTGCCCCTTCCCTACACCATGCTGGTTATTTTAGCTGATTGTCAATATTTAAAAAGTTCTGTTTAAACTGAGTTTTGCTCCAAGGCAAAGTCCAAAGCTAAGAAAAATCCTCAAATAAGAATTACAGCCTCAACTGGGTAATACCAAACCTCTGAGCTGACAGCCCTCACAGCAACACCACGTGAAATGGCCATGTGGGGGGGGAGGGCGGGGCGGGATCAGCTTTACTGAGACATAATTCACATACCATAACTCTGCCCTGTTTATACAATTTAATGTAATTTAGTATATCTGCTGAGTTGTGCGACCATCATTACATAATTTCAAACGTTTTCATCACCAAAAAGAAACTCGGCCTATTAGCAAACACTACCTCCGTCCCCCCGCAGCCCCTGGCAGCCACGAAGCTACTTTCTATTCTGTGGACTTGTCTCTCCCAGACATTTCACATGGACAGAATCACACAACATGCGGTCTTTGGGCACGGCTTCTTTGAGCCAGCATGTTCTCAAGGTTCATCCCCGGGGGCACGGGGCAGTGCTTCAGTCCTTTTCACGGCTGAGTAACACCTTGTATGGAGAGACGTTTTCTTTATCCACTCACCAGCTGACAGACTTTGCGTTATTTCCACCTTTCATCTGTCATGATGTTGCTATGAACATTTGAGCCCAAGTGTTTCTGTAGACACGTTTGCAATCCCCCTGGGCATTCCCGAGCTGCCGTGGCTGGGCGCACATGCTCTGCTGCAATCTGGCCTTCCCGAATGCGAGCAGGCTCCAGAATCACTGGGCTCCCAGGGGCTGGGCCCACCCAGATACCCCGACCCAGCTGGTTTGGGGCTGGGTCCAAATACTTGGGAGTGGAATCGCTGGGTCATGGTAACTCTATTTTTTAAACTTTTGAGGAACTGCCAGACTCCTCCACAGCAGCTGCACCATTTTACTTTCCCAGACCAGCAGTGTATGAGGGATTGGACTCTCTACATCCTTGCCAGCACTTATTTCAATTACAGCCAACCCAGTGGGCCGTGGTGGAGGTTTTATGACAGTTAAAACACACTGGGCAAGTGTATTCTCTGATCACCCACAGGTGGAACAGTCTGAATAATACTGATAATGCTGCCCCCCCTCACTGTGTGCAGGCCCTCCCTGACAGAGGGTCTCAAAACGTGGTCTCCAGAACAACAGCACCTGGGAACCGTTAGAAATGCAAAGTCTGGGACTCCCAGGCCAGCTGGGCTGGGGTCTCTGGGTGGGCCCGGCCCCTGGGAGCCCTGAGATTATGGCGCCTCTCGCGTGTGCCCAGCCATGCTGGCCTTACCGTCTTACTAGTGACAACTGGGCACCAAGCCCCTCCGTACCCTGCAGACGAAGATGACAGGGACCAAGGAGCTTTCTGAAGGAGTAAACCTCACGGCTCAAGTGGAAGGGTTTGACGCTTTTCAGTAAGGAGGGACACTGTTGATATAAAGTGCTCACAGTAATTAATTTTGGACAGAAAAACCCAACTAGAAGATAAAGAAGAATTTCACAAGCACCGTCCAAGGCAGTAATGTAGATACACTCTCTCACACTTGCTGCTTTATATATTCCTTATCCACTGAGAAATCAAAGAGGACACTGTCATTGCTCGCCTTTATCTCGCTGGAGGACGGCGGCACAGGGGTGTCACAGAGCCACCACTCAACACTAAATCAGCCTCGGGGAGCCCTCACAACACAGACCTCAAACACTCCTGTGACCCCAGATGTTGATTACCATCTAAAAACATGGTAAAAACATATTCTGTGGAGACCTACTGTGTGTTTCCTTCACATGCCACTATTTAAAATCTCCACACACATTTCTCACGAGTTCACAAACTCAGCTATTAGGGTAGGTGAAGCCTGTTTGCAGCTACACTCTTGTTACTTCCCTCAGGTACTGGTCAGGCTCCCAGCCTCTCAGAACCTTTGCAGGGGCCACTGGAGGCGTGAGGAGGTGAGCCAGACGCGGTGGAGCCTAGTCTGCTCTCCCTCAGCAGCTTCCGGCCAGGGAGCCAGGAGAGGCAGAGCCTCCATGTGCAGGAGGACGGAGAAGAGTCGCACGGCGGGTCGGCAGGAAGCTCGCTGCCAGAACAGAGCTGCTCCGACTTTGCATTTGTTCCTTAAACCCCAACCCTGGCTGCCTGGTGCGTGCTCTACAGCATTTCCCTTGTCTGAGATGTCGTGGTGTCTCTGAGCAGGTTCAAAACCTTCTGATACATGTCCAGAATATCCTGAGTGGTGGGCCTTTCTGCAGGAGTGCGGCTCTTACAGGCTTTATGAATATCAAACAAATGGAATCGGACCATATCGCTCCCTTCAACGTGCCCCAAAAGGAAACTGGAGACGTCTGGAATCTTCCAGATGTCGGTCTTCTCATCATAGGATGGCATGAGATCATCGTGAAAAGGCCTGTCCCCCGCGTAGGGCCACAGCTGCTCGGGAGCCACAAAGTCCCCGAGGAGCTCCCGGTGGCCGCACTTCACCAGCGTCCCGGAGCTGCGGTCCACCAGGGGCAGGGCATCCAGGTCGTTTAGCACGATGCTGAAGTTGCTCGTCAGCAGGTACTGGGACAGCGTCTTGGGCAGGTCGCTGGAGTCACACATGACCAGGGGACCCAGGGGGCTGTGGTGCAGGTAGTGGATGACGCCCACGTAATCCATGGCCAGTTGCAGCCGGTGCTGCCACGTGTTCATGGCCTGGTACCTGGGCAGGTTCAGCGTCTCCTCCAGGCTGCTCAGGGAGCCCAGGGGGTGGTACTCGGTGAGAATGACACCGTCCTCCTCACAGTAGCCGAGCAGCGTGACGACATGTTTGCTCTGCAGCGATTTCAGCATCTGCAGCCCATGGAGGAAGTCATCTTTCATCTCCAGACTGGTGAGCTGTGAGAGCGCTACCTTGTGCCCCTTCCACTCAGACAGGAACACCTGCAGCAAAGCCATGGAGAACATGAGACCTGAAACCTGTACCTGGAACAGGTGAGCTGGGACGGGACCCAACAAGCATCTTGGCACAGATGCTGCCAGAGGGATTAGGTACTTTCCCCTATGATCTTAAGTGATCTAGAGATGGAGAGAGGAAATTTATAAAGTATAGTGGAGGGTGAAACGTGTTTTCAAGAAAAGTTGTGCAGGGAAGAGTTTAAAATTCTAAATAGGGTCCGAGAAGTCCTCACGGAGTGACTCTGCAGAAGAACCCGAAGGAGTGGGAGGATGCGCCCTGCACTCCCTGGGGACTGGGTTCCACAGAAGGGACAGCAGGGGCAGAGGCCCTGGGGTGGGAGCTGCTGACCGACACAGCCAGGGAGGCTGGGGCATGAGGAACACAGGAGGTAGGGAGGCTGGCCAGCGGGTGCAGCCTGCATGAGGCCTGTCGTTACAAGGACTGGCTCTCATGCAGAGTGAACCAGGCAGCCACGATTTGAGTCACAAGAGCAGCACTTCTGGCTGCTGTGCTGAGGGCAGGCTGAGAGGGTGGGAGGAGGACCACCGCGAAGGCTGAGAGGCCACTCGGGGGGCTGCTGAGGTAACTGAGGTTAAAGGTGAGAGTGGCGGGGCGGCCTGGGGGAGAGGATACGGGTGGAGTCTGAGACTGAGGAGAGGTCAAGTTCTGGATCTCTTCTGAGCACACAGACAATACAACTTGCTGCTGGATAGCACGTGGGTGTGAGAGGAAGAGAGAAGCCTACGAGGCCTCTGGGGCTGGAAGCCTGAGTGCCGGCCTGATGGAGCTGCCGTTACTGGTGACGGGAAGAGTAAGGGGCAGCAGGCCCAGGGCGACGATCAGGGACAGTCAGCGGGAGAAGCCTCTCAGGCCTCCGAGGGGCGATGTGGGGTAGGCAGTTGCACAGAAAATTCTAGAGAGTTCAGGAGAGTTCTTAACTGCAGATGGTGACCCAAGGAGCGAGCACGAAGAGAAAGGTACAAGGTTGAGGGGTGAGGAGGAGGAGTCTGTAGGGGAGACTGGGAAGTGGACGCTGTTAATTCACACTTTAAAATATGCCATTCATGTGACAGCTGCTTTCTCTGTAGCCTTATGTATTAAAAATAGCTCACAGAAGACCCTTCCAGAGGCTACATGAGACCAGAAAGCTACAGAGTAATTAGGAGAAAGAATCGATCCAATTTTCTGACAGGCTCCAACCCAGAGTTTATGGTGTTTTAAATGTAGTACACTTTTATGTTAAAGGAGATCTAACTGAAAACCCTCAGAGATTTGTGATCTCCTGAAGTCACCTCCCACCTTCTTCCTGTTGTCTGCACTGGCTCCACACTGAAGCACTGAGGATGGGCAGCCCCCCGAGATGCTGGCATTGCTGCCCATGAGAGGCTGGCAGAGTGCTTACCTGGTTCTACTAATGTAATATCGGGCTTGCAAATCTAAAAGGGATGAATCACCAACTGTTTCCCCAGGAAGTAAGATTAGAGATTGAGAGAGCAAGAGGTGGAAGGGAGCTTGTACTCCAGAATGCACTGCTTTTATGATTAAAGAAAAGAAAAAGGGAAAGCAGTGGGTCAACGTGTCTTTCCGGGGTAAGGGTACACGCTGCTCCCAGGAGGGGACACATGCCCCTGGCGATTCCAAACACAAACCACACGTGCACAGTCTGGGGCGCGAAGGGGCTGGCTTGTCTTATATTGAGGAAGCCATCAAAGCTAAGCCAGTATTTCAGGAGTTGTCTTCTGGCCCCTAAAGTGGTTCTAGGAACCAGGCAGAGCAACGCAACTGCAAAGCCCTGAGCTGAGAGCTTGTCTGATCAGGAAACAAAGAAGGGTGGGGCAGCTGCAGGGACGGAGGGAAGCAGGGCCAGGTCTGAGAGGGAGGCAGACCTTAAGAGGTTTGCATTTTGTTTCCTAAGGGCAAAGGGAAGCCAGCAAAGGGGTTTTAGGGAGGGCAATACCTGAATTGTCTGAAGGCTGCCTGGTGCCAGGTGCCAGGCGAGCAGGGAGGTGCCATCCAGGTGGGAGCTGTGGTGACTTAGAGGCAGTGGGTGAGGGAAAGGAGAGATGATCCAAGTCTGGGCCCTATCTTGACAGTGGAGCTGATAGAAGACTTGAGGTGGTGCCGAGGTTCCGGCCCCAGCAACCAGGTGGGAAGGGGTGGCGCAGAGACAGGCACAGCTGAGGAAGAATGGGTTTCGGGGAGGATCAAGCGTTCTACACGGGATACACTTAGATACTCGAGAGGCCTCAAGTGGAGATGCCAAATACAGAGCTGAATACACGAATCTGTGGCTCAGGCAAGGCTCAGGCTGGAGACAGAAATGTGGGAGTCACCGGCCTATATACAATGTATTTAAAGCAACGGAAGTAGATTAAATCACCTAGGGGAATCTAAAGGACACAAAAGAAGGGGACCCAGGAAGGAGCCAAGTGTTCTCACGTCAGCACTGCTGACACATCGGGACAGTCATTATTTGCCCATGGTGAGGCTGTCCTGGGCAACGTGGGAGGCCCAGCAGCATCCCCAGATGTCAGCACCCCACCCTGACACCTCCCCAGCTGTGATAACCACAAATGTGTCTCATCCTGTTGCTAAATCTCCTTGGGTTGAGAACCTCTGATTGAGAGGCAAAATATAGGCTGTAAGTCTCTAGCTAAGGAGAACGATTAGGAATTGCCGGTGAGGGAGGAGGGAACTAAAAATGGGTGGAATCAAGGGTGGAGAGCCAGAGCAGCAAAGGGCGAGGCCACCAGACCAAGGGCGGCCAACAAGGTCAAGCTCCAGGAGGGCAGAGAACGTCCAGTGTGGCGTTTGCAGGCACGTGGGTACAGGCCACCACACGGGAGGGAGCATTTGGAAGCCCTGTGGCAGAGGACAGGCAGTGACCGGGAGGAGAAGACTTCTCTGAAGTGCGTGTGTTTGCGCGCCCGTAGGAATGTCCATGGTGTGGGTAAGATGGATGACCCAGGAAAGTAAATGAGTGAGGTGCAGAGGTGGAGCCCTGAGCTGCAGGGTGACGGTCTGGTGGGGGTAAGGAAGCACCCTCCAGAAAGTATGTTTGCAGAGTCACTCACGTAAGGAGATCATCAGCTATGGCAAGGGGTGGGGCAGAAACGTTCGGAGGAACAGAGGCAACAGGCAGGGCTCAAGAGGCCAGGTGCACGGCTGCGGTCTGCCCGCAGACCCACGGTGTGCGGGACCCAGGAGGCCGCCATGCTGACGGCGTTCACAGGCCCCTGCAATGCACACACAGTCTGTTCCTGCCCATCTTCCCCGTTCAGTAATGGGGGCCCCACTCCTCCTGTTGCCCAGGCTGAGAACCCCGCAGTCACCCATTCCTTGTCTTACACCCAACACCTATCTATTCAGAACTATTAGTTCTACCTGTAAATATCACCAGAACCCACTGATTTCTCGCTACATCTGCTGCTAACAGCCATGTCAAACTGACCATCTCCCACCCCTGCCTGCCTGCCTCATCCTGCTGCCTCATCCTGCTGCTTGAACAGCTCCCACAGCCTCTGCAGCCCGCCAGACCAGCGCCTCCTGACCTCGCATGCTGCCTCTCTCCCTGCCTCTGCCACCCAGGTCTTTCCTGGCCCCTCAACAACCAACCACACGTGTGCATCCTGGGGTCTCCGCTGGTACCCATCTTTCTTACTGGAGCATCTGTCCCCCAGACATCCACACAGCTCGCTCTCCAGTCGTTCTCCACCTGGAGGAAGGGGCCTGTGCGGTCCCCTTACCCTGCTGTCCTCACAGCCCACTCACTGGCATGCTTCGTCACATGGAAGCTTCCTAATGTCTTGCTCGTCTGACTCCCCAGCTAGAAGACTCCAATGGGCTTTGTCCCACTCACTGACCAACCCAGGACCTACACCAATCAATGAGGGAATCTGTAAAAGACCCCATTACTGTGTGTTGTATGGTTTTACTGACATAAATTCCTTCTCCCTGCCTGCCTCCCTCAAGATGTCCCTTCTCCACATTCCAGGGGCAGCAGCCACAGTGTCCTAGTCTCCCCAAAATCAAAGCCAGCAGTTTATCAAACTGCAGGCCCAAGAATCACTGTCTGCTCCCTCCCTTTTGCAGATCACCCAGAACACACTCACAGACGAACAGTCTGTGCGACAATCTGGCCTCTGGAGCCCATCTGCTGGCTGAGGAAGACCGTGACTGCCAAATGCAGCCGCACATGCTGCTTGCTGGGAAGACAAGGGCCCTTAAAACTTCTATCTGAGAACTGAATCCACGCCTTTGGTTTCTTTTTAAAATAGAAAATTTTTAGAAAATCAATATCATTCCATCATAGAATCTTAAATACAAGAACAAGAAACCCACCCATAATCCTCTACCACAGCATGATTCCTATCTTTTACATTTTCTACATAATTGTGGAATTTTGCAGTTGGAAACAGTGTATTGTACGATTTTGTACCTTACTTTTCTCGCTTGTCATCGTATTTTTCTCACGCTGCTAAATGGGGCTCCTAGCAACATTCCATGGCTACAGCATATGCTCCCAGCGCCTGGGCCACACTCTAGCCGCTCCCCTAGTTCCTATGCTCCCCCTCGTCCCGGCCTCTCGCTGCAGTGGTTCCCCACCAGGAGGGGCCGCGAGTGCAGATGCCGGCTCGCGGCGCCGGGCTGCCCCCGACCCATCAGGGCCAGACTCACTGTCTTCACGGCTCCTTGTCCGGCGCACCTCAGCGGCCTCACTTGCGCCCGCAGCTCCTCGCAGGTCAGCCAGGGCGCGCAGCCGCCTGCAGGTCCCCGGTGGAAGTGGCCGTGGGGGCAGCGCATGGGGCGGACGTGGCAGAGGCCGAGGTAGAGCAGCGCGTCCAGGAGCGCCACGCAGAGCAGCAGCCCCACGGCCGGCGGCACCGGGCCCCGGCGGCCCGCACCGGGCTTCGTGTCCATGGCGCGCCGGGGATCGCCTAACACAGGGACCGGAGAGCGGTGATCGGCCGGGCTCCCGGGCCTCGCCGCCCCTCCTGGGCCCGCCCTCCAGGCCCCAGGCGCCGCCGTGAGGACTGAGACGGTACTGAACACGGGGCTCGCCGCAGGCTCAAACCAGTCCTGTTAGGGGCCGGGGTCTGGGTTTACCCTCATCACGGTCGCTAGCAGGGACGTGTGTTCTGACTCTCGCTCCCACAGCAGTTTGCACTGAGTTGATAATTCAACGAATGGCTAGTAAAACGTAAACAAACTGTGGCTTGTTGGTCCCGGCGGGGCAGAAGATGGATGAGGGCAGCAGGGGATTAATTAGCTAGGGCATGGGTGGGTGGGGAGGCCGAGGCCCCTCACCCACCAAGGGGCTGGGATGTCCCTCAAAAGCTCCTTAATGGTTTAAAGAGGCTAAGGCTATCCTTCAGCAGGTGGAAAATGGCACCTGGGTGGGAGGGGCAGAAGGCCCGACTCGTGGAGGCCCTGGTGGTGACCCGGGTGAGAGCTGGAGCAGTGGAGGTGGGCACCTAGGGGATGGCTGGGGCGCCTCTCCAGCCAGGGGCTGCTGCCTGGGCATGGGCACTTGGCGGGTCCTGGCAGAGGCTGGCACTGCAGTGAAACTGTTGGTGGGGCCCTGGACATCCAGGGCTGGGTGCTCAGGGTGCTTGAGGCAGAGGCTACTGAAGACCCCGAATGGAATAAGGGAGATGGTCATGCCAGTGCAGAACAGAACAGCCGACTACCAGCACTGGAGTGGGTGGAGGGCCCCAGGGACAGAACTGACCCTGCGCTTCCCGTGCCTGAGACAACTGTGAGAGGAATGGTCACCTTCCAGGAGCGTCTGCCTCCTCCCAGCTCAGGTCTCCACTCAGACAGCTGGTATGTCAGTGTTCTGGTTGGCCCCAGCACCAGTGTGAAAATACTCTGCCACAAGTACTGAAAAGAAGATTTGTTAAATAAAAATCTCAACACTGTGCATAGACAAACAGCACTAGTCCCCACGGTCCAGCTTCCCCAGGGCCCTCCTAGTACCAGGGTGTCCCTCAGGCCCCAGAGCCAGGGTGGTGCTGCAGCCGCAGGGGATCTGGATCAGCTTGTCTGGGCTCAGAGCCCCATTCCCACCAGCCTCATTTTTCTCTTTGGTACCAGTCTACACCCTCTACCTCCACCACTATCTTTCAGCCACTCATTCATTCAACACATACTAAGTGGCTTCCACATGCCCAGCCCCACTCTAGGCACAAGGGATATGTGAGTATTTAAAACAGGCATGGTTCCTGTCTTCTTGGAGCTTAGGGGGAAACCTGGCGGGGAAGACAGACAGTAAACCAGTCGAGGAAGAAGTTTATCATCATATACTGTGAGGAGCACTCGAGGACAGAGTAACAGGGAGGATCCTTGGATGAAACCGTTCCAAAGACGTCTCCGAGGACGTGACACCCTGAGACTGGAAGCCTGTGAGGAGCCCTGAAGGAAACAGGAAGGCAGCTTTCACACCTTCTCCTTGAGAAAGTAAAGCCCACCTGCCATTCATGGACACTGATCAAGCCAGCTGCCAAGTTAATAGGAAACAGTGTTTCTCCTAAGATGCTGTGGCTATAACGCCTCAAACAACCCCTTTCTTTAAATGACCATGGCCTGCTTATTTGCTGAGCAACTCTTCTAAAAAATCAGACCAGAAATTTTGCTACTTAAAGTCCAAGCAGGAGGAGAAAGTACCTCACCTGCCTGCAGAAGCTAGTGGGGCTGACGGAGATGCCGCCTCCGCCTCCACCTCCACCTCCAGCGGGAGCAGTTCTGGAGACAAGACTGCACATCCAGGTGAGCCTCAGAGTCCACAGGACACCAGGTCCTGGAGCCCACTTTACAGTCCAGATGGGATCTTGACCTCTTTCCAGGCAGCCCTGTTTGGCCTTGAGCCCATCAAAACGCTGCTTCATTGAACTTTTGCCCAAACTCCACACCCATCCCCCCAGTTCTGCACTGCCTCATTTGCTCTAACAGAGATGGGGCTCCACCACCAGGCAGTCTCTCAATCCAGTGGGTCAGTAACCTGACAGGTCCGTCTGCTGGCCTAGGTCCCCTCTCATCACGCTTCTGGCACCTCACTCTCATCTCATGACCTTGTTTCCCATTTTCCTGAAAAAAAAAAAACAAAACAGAAAGCAGAGAGCACTGTCACAAGCCCCCAACACCCTACGGCAGGCTCTGCCCCCCCCTCAATCCACCTTCTCCTGGGACAGTGGTGGACCGGCAGGCACCCAGCTGGACCCCTGTGCCAGGACCCAGCCTCCCAAATCATCAGCAGAGTGCCCTGACGCTCCCATGGCTGAAAACAGCCTCTCCACAGCCTCTCCCCCTCAGTGATCCCCTCTCTGCCCTACTTCTCTCTCCCTCTTCCGGCAAACTCCTTAAGAGGAGACCTACACCCGCTGTTCCCACCTCTCCCGCTTCTACATGGGAACCCACCATCCGAGCCCACGCTGAAGCCCACGGCTCCGCCCTCATCTCGAACCTCTCAGCAGTAGGGAGTTCGGCCAGTCACCCCCGCCTCCTGCAGCCGCGTCCTGGCTCCAGGAGACTGTGCTCTGGGGGCTCCCCCTGACCTCTCTGAAGGCTGGACCATGCTCAGACCTCTTCCTGCCCCTGGGAGACTCAGGACTCTCCGCCTCCCCCAGCAGACTGCTCAGGGTCACGGCTCCACGCCCAGCCTCCTCAGGGCGCTCCTCTAGCTTCTGGACTTCCTGCTGTGCCATGCATGCTCCGCACAATTCCAGGCCCGCATCCTTCCCTCTGGCCTTTCCCCTCCTGTCATGTTCAGGGCCTTCAATGGAAAACTGTGACGACCTTACCACTCGGGTATCATGGTGCCTTGAGCTCCTCTCACCCGCACCCGACCCTCCGAAGGGGCTCAAACAAGTGGATAAAACAGGTGACTTAGAACTTAGGTCAGGGGCCAGCACAGTGATTTCTGTACAGGGCCAGATAGGAAACATTCAGGTCTGGGGCCCAGAAGCTACAACGGAGCGGTAACTGCATCACCTGCACCTGTGGTGCAGAGCAGCCATGCAAGGTGATGAGAGGCCACAGGCTGTCCCTGTCACAGTGACCTGTCGCCAGAGTGGGAGAGCAGCCCCAGACACTACATATGCAAATGAGCGTGGCTGTGCTCCCATACATTAGGTACACACAATGATATTTGAATTTCATATCATTTTTATGTGTCACAGAGGAGTCCTCTTGATTCTATTCCCCAACACTGAAAGTTAAAAAGCATTCCTCAGTTGCAGGCCATACAGAAGCAGGTGGGGGCGGAAGGTGGCACCCCTGTAGGGTGACTGCTCTGCTGCATGCCACCTTTCCATTCCAGCCCCCTGCCTCGCAATCTCACCCACGCCTTGCAATCTCACCCACGCACGCAGTGCTGGTGACGGTGTAAACCTGGTGACTTCCAGGTCTCTACTGTGACCCACATCTTTCTCTTACGTGTTCCTTGGCTGGCGCCTCAAAGTCTAGGATGTCCATAATGAGAGCTCACTGCCCTGTCGCTGGCAGGGCCCTTCTCCAGGGCTCTGGCTCTGACAGGAATACAACCCACCCAGGCACCCAAGTCGCAGTGCACGTGACATGGCTCCACCCCTAACTTCTAAACTAGCCAATCACCACGTACGAATCTATTTGTGCCTCCCCTTCCTTGGTACCCAGCCCTGGTCCCAGCCACCAGCATTTTACCTGGGCTTCTGCAACAGTTTGTCACCTGATCTCCCCCTTCTTTTTTTCAATCCATTCTTCACACAGCAAATAGGATCTTTTCTTTCCTGAAAACTTTCAAGCACAGAGAAAACGAAAAGATAAAGTCAGGAACACCCACCCAACTTTGTCAAGTAACAGTGTATCATATTTTCTTAAGTTCACTCTCCTTTTTTTCCCTTAGAGTATTTATTTATTCATTTATTTAAAGTTATCTTTTAAAGAAATAAAACATTACTTATATAAATACCAAAACCAGGCAAAGACACAAAAAAAGAAAATTACACACCAATATACCCCATGAACATTGATGCAAAAATACTCAAAAAAATATTAGCAAATCAAATTCAAAAAATACATCAAAAAGATCATCCATTATGATCAAGTAGGATTTATTCCAGGGATGCAAGGATGGTACAATATTAGAAAATCCATCAACATCCACCACATCAACAAAAAGGACAAAAAACACATGATCATCTCCATAGATGCCGAAAAAGCATTCGACAAAATTCAACACCCATTCATGATAAAAACTCAACAAAATGGATAAAGAGGGCAAGTACCTCCACATAATAAAGGCCATATATGATAAACCCTCAGCCAACATTATACTTAACAGTGAAAAGCTGAAGGCTTTCCTCTAAGATCAGGAACAAGACAGGGATGCCCACTCTCCCCACTGTTATTCAATATAGTACTGGAGGTCCTAGCCACGGCAATCAGACAGAACAAAGAAATAAAAGGCATCCAGACTGGTAAAGAACAAGTCAAACAGTCACTATCTGCAGATATTGTATATAAAAAACCCTAAAGAATCCACTCCAAAACAACTACAGTATCTGAATTCAGCAAAGTTGCAGGATACAAAATTAATACACAAAAATATGTTGCTTTCCACACAGTAATGATGAACTAGCAGATAGAGAAACCAGGAAAACAATTCCATTCACAATTGCATCAAAAATAATAAAATACCTAGGAATAAACCTAACCAAGGAGGTGAAAGACCTATACCCTGAAATCTACAAGACATTCTTAAGAGAAATTAAAGACACCAATAAATGGAAATACATCCCATGCTCTTGGCTAGGAAGAATTAATATTGTCAAAATGGCCATCCTGCCTAAAGCAATCTACAGATTCAATGCAATTCCTATCAAAATACCAACAGCATTCTTCAATGAACTGGAGCAAATAGTTGTAAAATTCACATGGAACCACAAAAGACCCCTAATAGCCAAAGCAATCCTGAGAAGGAAGAGTAAAACGGGGGGGTATTAGGCTCCCCAACTTCAAGGTCTACTACAAAGCCACAGTAATCAAGACAACTTGGTACTGGCACAAGAACAGACCCATAGATCAGTGGAACAGAATAGAGAGCCCAGATATAAACCTAGGCATATACAGTCAATTAATATACGATAAAGGAGTCATGGATATACAATGGGGAAACGCCAGCCTCCTCAACAACTGGTATTGGCAAAACTGGACAGCTACATGCAAGAGAATGAAACTAGATTACTGTCTAACCCCATATACAAAAGTAAACTCGAAATGGATTAAAGACCTGAATGTAAGTCATGAAACCATAAAATTCTTAGAAGAAAACAAAGGCAAAAATCTCTTGAACATGAGCAGCTTTTTACTAAACACATCTCCCCAGGCAAGGGAAACAAAAGCAAAAATGAACAAATGGGACTACATCAAACTTCAGCAAAGGACACCATCAGTAAAACAAAAAGGCATCCTACAGTATGGGAGAATATGTTCGTAAACAACACATCAGACAAGGGATTAACATCCAAAATATAAAAAGAACACACAGGCCTCAACACCCAAAAAGCAAATGACTCAATTAAAAAATGGGCAGAGGATATGAATAGACACTTCTCCAAAGAAGAAATTCAGATGTCCAACAGGCACATTAAAAGATGCTCCACATCACTAATTATCAGGGAAATGTAAATTAAAACCACAATGAGATATCACCTCACACCAGTTAGGATGGCTAACATCAAAAAGACAAACAACAACAAATGCTGGTGAGGATGCGGAGAAAGGGGAACCCTCTAAACTGCTGGTGGGAATGTAATTTAGTTCAACCACTGTGAAAAGCAATATGGAGGTTCCTCAAAAAAACTAAAAATAGAAATACTATTTGACCCAGGAATTCCACTCCTAGAAATTTACCCAAAGAAAACAAGATCCCAGATTCAAAAAGACATATGCCTATGTTTATCACAGCACTATTTACAATATCCAAGACATGGAAGCAACCTAAGTGTTCATCAGTAGATGAATGGATAAAGAAGATGTGTTATATATACACAATGGAATATTATTCAGCCATAAGAAGAAAACAAATCCTACTATTTGCAACAGCATGGATGGAGCTGGAGGGTATTATGCTCAGTGAAATAAGCGAGGCGGAGAAAGACAAGTACCAAATGATTTCCCTCATCTGTGGAGTATAACTAACAAGGAAGGGAAATTGAAGGAACAAAACAGCAGCAGATTCACAGACTGCAAGAAGCGACTAACAGTTACCAAAGGGGAGGGGTGGGATGGGCCAGTGGGGAGGGAGGGAGAAGGGGATTGAGGGTGCATTATGATTAGCACATATGGTGTGTGGAGGTGGGTCACGGGGAAGACAAGATGACAAGCAGTGACTGTGTCATCTTACTACACTGATGGACAGTGACTGCCATGGGGTACGAGGGGGACTTGATAATATGGGTGAATATAGTAACCACAATGTTTTTCATGTGAAACCTTCATAAAGAGTGTATACCCATGATAGCTTAATAAAAAATAAAATAAAAACATTACATATACACTGAAGCCCCTTTGGAACCCTCCCAGTCCTAGTCTGCTCCCAACCAAGAAGTAATTGCCACCCACAAGTTGGAGTGTGTCTGAACTTCTCAAACTGTGGTCCCTAACCTGCCACAGCATCATCGCCTGGAATCTTGTGAGACACACCAAGACCTGAGCCAGAAACGTTGAGGAGGGCCTGGACTCAGTGCTTGCACAGGTCCTCCAGGTGGTTCGGATGCAAGCTAACACATGAGAACCGCAGGTGTACGTAATTCCCACACACGCCGTTCAGTTCCACCACCTGGCTAAGTGCCATCAGTAACAACATAATACCTGTATGTTTGCGAGCTTCATACAAGCAGTGTTGCCCTGTATATATAAATATATATATATATATCCTTCTGCATCTTGCTTTTTCAAAAGCTCAACATTATATTTTTGAGGTTTACCCATGTAGAGACTGAAATTCTAGTTTGCTGTTCTCAACTGTTTGACCACAACTAGTGAAACAGTTTTGCACACACTTCCTCGTACACATGTGGAAGTTTTCTCTGGGATCTACAGGGTGATCTTTCTAAGACCCAAATTTGATCACTCCTTGCTTTAAAACATTTCTCACAGCCCCCAACTGCCGTCAGGATAAAATCCAGACTCCCAGTGTGGACCTGGCCCCCAGAGATCCAGCCTCTGCCTGCCTCTCCAGGCCCCTCCCCGCACCCCATGCTCCAGCCTCAGCTCTCCTCAGTCCTCGCAGGCACCTCTCCGGGCCGCCCAAGTTCCGGCACATATTTCTTCTTCCTGGACTGTGAGCTCCCTGCGGCCCTGCACACACCTGTGTTGTGGGTGGCCGGCAGGTAGCAGGGACTCAGTAAAAACGCACTGACTCCTGATCATCCAGAAATTCCCATCTTCAGAGCCTCAGGTGCGGCTTCCTCTCTTGCACCTGTCCTCTGACCTCTCACTCCCCACCTCCTCCAATCTGGGTTCACCAGCCCAAACCCCACAGCCAATCCTTTTAACCCTCAGACCCTCCTGGCCCCTGACTTCCACTGATCCTGCCTTGCCTTTAGGGGTTGGTTCAGGTTCCAAAGGGCCTCAAGCTTATGTAATTTTTTTCCTTTTGAAAAGATACCACTTTCTTCTTTCTTCATTTTCCCTCAAAGGCTGCCAATGTAAGGTACAAAATTCTGTGGGACTTTAGAAACTCATTGCAATATAATGAGTCATAAAAAATAAATATTTGATCATTCAGATGACCAAATATATACTTCCCAGGTATTTCTGGTCTTCATCCAGTCCCTGAAAACACTACAGTCTTAAAGGTTATAAATTCTGTTCCTCTGACATCAAATGCAATGGTCTATTTTTCCCTACATATGTGTATAACAATGACAATATTATACACAGCAGTAAGAGTATAACTTCATTTGGGTACCTGGAACCGATTCCAGTGTGTGTAAGTATGTGGGTGGGGCCCTTCTCATACTTACACCAAGCAATTCTCAAATACCAGCAGGGTATCCGAGAACTCAATTCTGAAGCTATCTGCCTGGAGACACCCAGATTCCCGGGTGAAGGGCTCCATCCTACAAGACTGCCCTCCACCCCCATTCAAGACGCTGGTCGCAAGCCCCAGGCAGTTCCCTGTGCCCTTGACCTACCCGCTACAGACTGGGGGTTCCTACGACCTCCCCCTTAGGTTTGATTAATTTGCTAGAGCGGCTCACAGAACTCAGGAAAACACGTTTACCAGTTTAATAAAGGAGACCATAAAGGATACAAGTTAACAGCAGATGAAGAGAGACACAGCAAGGTCCCAAATAAAGGAGATTCTGTCCTCGCGGAGCTGGTGGCCTGGCTCGGTGGCACATGGAAGCTCTCGCTGATCAAGAGGCAGGAGCCAACCGAACAGCATGGAGCAGAGCAGAGCGCAAAAATCTCTTCAGGGAATTTTGTCAGGGCTTTATTGCAGTCATGATTGACTAAATTATTGGCCATTGATTGGCTGATTCAGCCTCCAGCCCTGCCCCTGGGTGGGGTCCAAAGATCTCGCATTAACATGACAAAATACCTCTTTAACCTTTAAGATCGCCGTGTTTTTAGGAACTGTGGAAGAAGGCCAGATATACCTGGGAAACATATATGAATGACCAAATATGTATTTCTTATAACTCATTATATCCCAAAGGTGAAATGGTGTCTTCTCATGTTAATGAAACTTTTGGACCCTGCCCGAGGGCAGAGGCTAGAGGTTGAATCAGACAATGGCTAATAATGTAGTCAATCATGACGATGCGATGAAGCCCTCACAAAAGCCCCAGAAGAGCTATGGCTCTCTGCTCTCTGGGACCCTGCTTCTCTGTCCACGCCGCCTCCATGACACCAAGGCAGGCCCCAAGCTCCAGGAAGAGAGAAGCTCCTTTATTTGGGACCTCGCCCTATGTCTCTCTTCGTCTGGCTGTTAACTTATATCCTTTATTAAACTGGTACATGTAAGTGTTTTCCTGAGTTCTTTGAGCTGCTCTAGCAAATTAATCGAACTTAAAGAGGAGGTCGTGGGAACCTCCAATCTGTAGCGGGTAGAGGGCAGTCTTTTTTGTTTGTTTTTGTTTTTTATCTGGGGGAGGAGGCAGGGCATGGACATCATAAATGGGATAAAATCCCAGAAATGTACTAGTAGGTGAGTGGAGGAGGTATAGTGTGAATGTGCTTTTTACTCCTTTATGATACAAAATATTCCTAACAACTAATACAACATTGGAATATGAAAAAATCAAATAACTACCACCATACTAACAAGAGAAGTTCAGGGCCATAAAATAAAAAAGGAACACTAACATATTCCTTTAGACAAAAGTGTCAAAGGCACTAGTTGAGTATGTCAGACTTCTTTGTGGTCTTTTCCTTCAAAATGGCACACAGCTGGCAAGGTTAAGCCCACGAAAGCTGGACATTCACTGTTTTCCGTTTCGCTGAATGTTTTTCACATTTCTTATTAACTTTTTTTGTATTTTGGTATCATTAATATACAATCACATGAGCAACACTGTGTTTACTAGATTTCCCCCATTACCTAGTCTCCACCACATACCCCATTGCAGTCACTATCAGTGTAGTAGATGCTATAGAGTCACTACTTATCTTCTCTGTGCTATATTGCCTTCCCCGTGACCCCCCATACAGGGTAGTTTTGTAGGAGGGAGCCCTCTGGGGAATCTGGTGCTGTCTCCAAGCAGATTAGCATTAGAATTGAGTTCTCATCACACACACACACACACACACGAATCCTGTCCAGGAACCCGAAGGAGTTTGTGTTTACTACTACTGCAGTGTATAATATTATTGTTGTATATAGGAAAGAAACAAAACTTGTATTTTCAGATCTGCATTAGATCTTCATCATTAGCCAGTTACCCATTACGCACTTCTTGCCACTCTGCAGTTACAGGCCTCAGCAGCCTTTCAATTAGCCATAAATCCTCACATCCAGTTCTGAATCCTCCCCCAGAAAAGCACCCATCCAAAAAATCAACTAACTTTCACACAGTGTCATCCTCACATCAATTCTGCAAGGTAAATAAGATTCTTACATGCATTTCACAAATAAAAGGAGCTAGAGGTGAAATGACTCATCTGGGGTCATTAAACTACACGGAGAAGCCAAGTTTTTTGGCCTGAACCCCACATCTTCCTTTAAGTCCTGCAGCCCTCGGGTGTTTGACAGAATTGGACACAGTATGGTCACCACAAGGGTGTGGGGTGGCCACTGATTCCCATTTCTTAAAGATGACAGCCCGCACCAGCACCTGATGGAACTGTTTAAGACCAACTTCTGGAGTCGACTGCCCAGGGCTCAGGACAGGCCCTATGGCTAAAGATCTTTCTTGTCCACGAAAGAAGCAAAATGACACTGAAAGTTACTGTTTCTGCAAGTTAAGGGATAATAATTGTGGGCCCGGTTGGGTAAGAGAAATTCAAGTACTGTTTATAGACAGAAAGGATTCCTGTCATTGATAGGAAACGGCTGGAAATGGAAAAACCTGGGTACCACCGCTCTACACTCACAGCTTAATTGTTTAAATAAGAAAAAAAAAGCAATGAAACAAAAGTTTTTACCAATTTACAGGATATTTTACATAACGAGAAAAGCGAGTTAGCGTCACCCAATAGGATTTGAGGCAGAATCTAATTCTGCTAATAAAGCACAAGGTACATTAATTATTTTAAATATTCGGATGAGTACTTGGCCTTAAGGTTATGCAATAACAACAAAGGATGGAACCGACAAGACTACAACATAAAAGGGCCAAACCTTTTTAAGAGCAGCGTGTGATCACACCCAAGCCAGAGATTGCGCCCAGGGGCAGCTGGCGGGGCGGGAACCGCCACCAACCACCCCAAAGGAATGAGCCTCGGCCGCCCGGGAGCACCGGGAGGCGGGGCGGGTGCCGCGGGACTTGGGGGCTCGGCGGGGCCGCAGGATCTGGGACTGGAGGGCTCGGCGAGGCCGCGGGGACCTGAGCATGGGGAGCTCAGGCCGGGCCTGAGGCACGCCCAGCAGAAAACCGAAATGCCCTCCGCGCCCGCCCGACCCACAGCCTCTCTCGCGCGGGCGGCGGGTCCCGCACGGAGTTCCGGACCGAATCTCCCACCCTCCGCAAGGTCACTCGGGTAGCCCCGCCGCTAACCCCGCAGCACCTACCTGCAGCCCACGGCCGGCACGCGGACTCCTGCGCCTGCGCAACCGGAAGCGAGCCCAGCAGGGCGCGCGCAAGGCTGCCCCCCTGTGGCCGCCTCCCGCCGTGCACATGGAGGCACGTGACTGAGACGCGTCGGGGGCGTTCCCCGGCGCAGGCGCACCCTCCAGACTCCTCCTCTTCGGGCTTCTTTCTGAGCATGTGAGGGCGACGAAGTGTTGACCCATGACTGCTTTAGCCCGGACGCCCAGACTGGTGCTGTGTACGGTGGAGAGGAGCGGTACGATCTAGACCGATCAAAAGGCTCCGGTCTGTGCAAAGCGGTGGTTTCCAAAGAGTGGTCCTCAGAGCGGATGCTGATGCTTCACATCTCCTGGGAAAGTGCAAATTCTCGGCTCCATCCCAGACCTCGGGTGGGGTCCAGCAATCTGCTTTACTCAGGCCTCCGGGTGATGCTGATGTGAAGGTTGAGAGCCACTGGTGGAAGGGAAACTCAGGGGCTTGCTTAGCCCAGAGCAGAAAAGCTGCACGTCTTGCCCTCAAGGGCAGGCAGGCAAGAGCTTGGGCAAGCCCCGAAGGAGTGAGGAGTGGAGAGGGGAAGGACGCTGGAAGGCCTCACCACGCCACACGGCGTTTGTACCTGGTGGAAAAAAAGAGAGGAAAGGCTTCGACATGGAAAGGCATAGCACTAACTTTTTGTTTAAATCAGAAGTGTTATTTACTTCTACACTGGCATTTTCCAACTTTGGAGTCAAGAGACTAACAGTTATGTGGGTTAAAAACTGAAACTGTACTGGTAATAATCCAAACCTTAAAATGACTAGATGCTACTTGCCTACCAGGTTGGCAAAAAAATAGCAAGGAGAATCTAAGTGTCCCCACAGCCATAGGTGAATGTAAATTTTTAAAACCTGTACCAATTCCTCCTATGCATAAAGGGCTCCAGAAAATTCCATGCCTGTGAATTTATCGTGCAAAAATAATTGAATATGTCACAATCACAATATAGGTAGGTCACAGGGAAGGCAGTGCAACATGGAGAAGACAAGTAGTGCGACTCTAGCATCTTACTATACTGTAGGACAGTGACTGCAGTGTGGAGGGGGATGAAGACCTGATAATATGGGTGAATGTTGAAACCACAAGGTTGTTCATAAGATTGTATATAAATGATACTTTAATGAAAAAATTGAATGTGTGTGCAAGATGTATGTACAAGAGAACTCACTGAAGTGTTAATAAAGGATGTTTGTAGTAGTAAAAGAAACAAATGTTTAAGAATAGGGATTCTGAAAGAAATTATATCTTTAAAGCCATTAAAACTGATACTGTAGTAACACTTTGGCTCTAGAATTACTCTGAGACCTTGAAAAAGTTTTACCTTAAGTTTCAAGTTTTGAAGAATAGCTCTCCTCTTTGGGACTATCTTAGGAAAAAGTAATGAACAACTCAACTGAAAGTAAATATTTTTCCCTCTGCTATCTAAACAGCTGAATTATTTACCATCTTGCAAAAACCTAGTATGTGTAAGTTCTTGACTTCTGTGTTAGGTTACCATAACCTCGTGGTTAGGGAGTTGTTAGGACCATGCTATTATTTTCCGCTGGATGACTAAAGGGTCAGGGCTGAACTGTTGCTGCCTTTTTATCTACTGCTCACCTGCTGCTATTTAAATCCTGAATTTGGGTTCTCAACAAGCTACTGAGATCACCCACCTAATGCAAACTTTAAAATGTAATGCATTGATAATAGCAATTGCTGGAACACAATGCATGTGTTCCTCTGCTGTGCAAAATTATGAATAAAAACCAGGGACTCATGGCAAAATGGAGTTCAGGACACAACACTTGAAAACTTAATCACTTAAAAAAATAAAAGAACCTAATAAAAACCGCAACAGTTTTACACATGATGATATTTTACCTTGGAAAAGAACTGAGGCTTCCCCGTGGATGTGGGCTCTGGAAGAGTCTGTGGGTTATCGTGAGGTGACAGAGGGGCAGTTCTTGCTGTAACCCCAGATGTACATGGCCGTGGTTTGTAACCCCGATAAGCTGAAGACACTGGTGGTTGATGGGTGTGCCTGTGTGTGTGCTGTGCTCACACACAGCCCCCAGTGTGGCTCAGCAGGATATAGTTTTCTGCGTTCACCTGGTGTTTCTGCAGGATGAAATCAACAGGACAACTGTGTTATGCTCAAATTATATCTTAATACATCAGTCATGTTGAAACAAATTTGCTTTTAAAAATGTGTTAGAGCTGAACTGGCTGCACTTAACTTTATTTTTTTCTTTCCTCAATTTCCTCTATCAGTTTTCAATTCCTGATTCTTTTCTGTACCAGTTTATGTCTCTGATTAGCCACTGTTAGCTGTTTTATCTTTTGCATGCCTTGGCCATTTGGACTTTCGGATTGCTGTACTATTTACTAATGTGTAATAAACAGGTTTTGTACATAGTTCCTATATTAAAAAATGGATGTCTAATAAATACTATGTAGATACTCTGCAAGAAATGTTCTTTTTGAACCTGAAAAGGGTAGGTGTTTTTCTGACTTAGGGTCAGTTCTTGGGAGAGATGAAAGACCTCTTTGTATTGTCAGTCACAGCGAAGTTTATCATACGCTCTCCCTTCTCATATACAGTCCCCCTGGGCCTCCCCTCGGTTTGAGAGCCACAAGTTTAAACTCACTACTGATGATGATGGGATCAGGGAAGTAAAAAGTAACCCTGTGGCTAGTTAGCTGTATGCATTCAGTCTCTTTAACCCTGCATTAGTTCAACCTGGCACATTAAAGTAATTGTGTATTTTTTAAAAAAAGGATACTGTATAATGGATAGAGAGTTTCAGTTTGAAAAGATGAAAAAACTCAGGAGGTGGTAGTGATGGTTGTACAACAATGTGAATATACATAATGCCACTTAAAATAGTTAAAATGGTAAATTTTATGTATATTTTATCACAATAAAAAAAGATGTAGATCTATATATTGACATGAAAGGATATTCATAACATATGGATAAGGGTGGGGAAGCAATCCCATTAAAAATATAACCACTATATATAAACTTATATACAATTGTTAAACCATTTAACATATATAACATACTATATATATAACAAAGTACATAAAATTCAATTTATGTTGGAAATATATAGTAGTGCCATATATGTGTGTGTGTGTGTGTGTGTATACATATATAGTAATTTAGGTATATATATATCCCACTACTATATAGTTTATGAACATAAATATATAGTTTATAAAGTGTGTATATATATATATAAAATCTCCAACAAAGCAACTTTGGACTTACCATTTAGGAAGACCATGAAACAAATCTATTGAATAATAATTTTGGGAAAGATTGTAAAAGGAAAGAGATGAGTGAGATATGAAAAATCTGAGCATAAGAACTTTGGAGAGAAAATAATCAGGAATTGAAAACTGATAGAGGAAATTGAGGAAAGAGAAGAATAAAGTTAAGTGCAGCCAGTTCAGCTCTAAAACATTTTTAAAAGCGAATTTTTTTCAATATGACTGATTATTAAGATATAATCTGAGCATAACACAATTGTCCCGTTGTTGATTTCATCTTGCAGAAACACCAGGTGAACGCAGAAAACTATATCCCGCTGAGCCACACTGTGTAGGAAGGCGCAGCACACACACAAGCGCACACCCATCAACCACCAGTGTCTTCAGCTCATCGGGGTTACAAACCACGGCCGTGCACATCTGGGGTTACAGCAAGAACTGCCCCTCTGTCACCTCACGATAACCCATAGACTCTTCCAGAGCCCACATCCACGGGGAAGCCTCAGTTCTTTTCCAAGGTAAAATGCCATCATCTGTAAAACTGTTGCGGTTTTTATTAGGTTCTTTTATTTTTTTAAGTGATTTAAGTTTTCAAGTGTTGTGTCTTGAAGTCCATTTTTGCCATGAGTCCCTCGATTTTATTCATAATTTTGCACAGCAGAGGAACACATGACATGCATTGCGTTCCAGCAGAACTGACTGCATGAGGGTGGTAGGTGAGTTTCAGGGAGAACAGCACCGTTAGCAGAGCAGAGAGCAGGGAGAAGACATTTTTAGTCTGAAATGCAGTGAAAGTCCAAGTTAATATCCAGCAGGACCTTACATCTCAGGTGGGAGGGCAGTAACGATTCCCCAAACAGAGGAATCCCCTGCCTCAGAGGACCCTGCAAGGCTCTGAAAACGGGTGGTTTCTCCAAGAGCGCCTGCATAGAAACCTTCATTTCAGGACTAGAGGGGCCGCTTGCAAAGAGCAAAGAGGCTGTGAAAGCCAATAAGGGAGAGGTTTCAAGAATGACAGGGAAGGGCTGATGTCTGGTAAAATGGAGTAAACATATGCAAACTTTTCTCTCCCACTGTAGTTGAACACAACTGTAAAACATGAACAGAACTCATGGCACAGCTATTTGCGGTCTATGCAGTGTATAACACCAGAATTCGGCATGCCACTGGCTGGCCATATACTTTTGTTTTTAACTCTAGAATCCTCTGGCCCAACTCAAGACAGCGCCAAACCTGGAAGTGAGCTCTGCTGGGAGTCAGAGAGACTGGTTCTGGCTCAGAGCAGAAAAAAAAAAACTAAAATTCAGACAGAGCAGAAAATTCTGGCTATTCTCCCTTTCTCTTACTTCACTCTCTGTACCCCAGTTTGCCGTCAGTCCTGGGCCAGGAGGGGTGGCGGAAGTGAAAGTGGCCGGCAGTGCAAAACCGCAGGATCCAATCTTCCTTTCCATTCAGTGAGGCTGCAACTCCAAGAGGGCAGACATTCTGTGGCTGTTTTCTGTTTGCTGCTACTCTGGCACCATTGTGGAAGTGGGCAGCATCTCACTGAAGTGGGAGGTTTCTGGCCAGAGGGCTGAAATGAGGAACGCCAGGAAATTGCAAAGGGAAAGATAGCGGAAATGGAGGGGATCCAGGAAAACAACCCTATAAAGTTGCGTATGAACTCTTCGGCTCACCCCTAACCTGCATATCATGGATCTGATTCTAATTGGCATACTAAAGTCTGAGAACTGCGCTGATGGATAGCTTTCTGCCCAAGTCCCAGCCTGGAAAACCTAAGAAAATTTGCAACCAGCAGACCTACTTTAATAGATTTGCTAAAGAAATGTGTTCAAACAAAAGGGAAAATGATACCAGAAGGAAACTTGGAACATTAGGAGTGAAAGAGTAATATAATGGGAATGGTTAATAGCTGGGTAAACATAAGAGATTACTCTTTAAAATACGTTTGGTGGCCGAATGCAAAGAGCATAAAATTGTCTGATGGGAATTTTCAATGTGCATAGGTGTAATATATAACACCTATAGCATAAATGGAGGAAAGTAAGGAGACCAGTATTATGGTAGGGTTTCTACATGCTGATCAAAGTGATACAATATTGATTCTAAATAGACTGGAACGTTTAATACTTATTTTGTAACCACCAGAGTAACCACTGAAAACAAATCACCCAATCAATCAATAGAAGATAACAGGAAAACCTCTGAACACCTGGCAATTAAATAATCCACTTCTAAATAATCCATGGGTCAAATGACTCAAGAAAGAAAATTTTAGAAAATATTTTGAGCTGAGTGAAAATGCAAATGCAAAAAACAAAACTTCTGAGATATATACATGAAGGAAATGTATAGCATTAAAGGCTTGTATTGGGAAAGAAGGGACTTGAATCATTTAACCTTCCACTTTAAAAGACTAGAGAATATACTGTCTACTTAAAATTTTCTGAGACTAGGTCTTAAATGTTCCCAGCATACACACACCCACACACGCACGTGGAAAAAAATACCAGAGTAAACCAATTCAAATAGAAGGGAGGGAATAAGAATTCAATGGAATTATTTTCTGTTATATAACATTTTTTTTTTTTTAAGCTGGGTAGGACCCATTGACTTGATACAATTTCCATTAGTGGGGCATAAGCCAGTTGGTAAACATTTAAAACGTAACTTCCAGAAAGAAATGTTCTGGACTCTCTTGTATGAGTTAATATTTGGGGTATGACCAATTATAAAATTGTTTTTAAGTCCTCATTAAAGGTTCTAACTAGTCAAATTTGTCCTCCTTTGTGAACCCTTGTTGGGTCCACCAGGCAGCTAATCCCTCCTCCTCCTGTGATCCCTAATAGTGTTCCTTCAAATAGCCAATAAACACTTTCAAGGTACTGAGGTAAGTAGCAGAATGTTGGTGCTTCTCAACACTGAGGTCCCTGAGGCTGAGATGGTGTTGTCTTACTCTCTTTCCTAAATCCAGCTTTTCTTTATGTGGGTAGTAGCTATTGATATTTACCATTTTGGAAATTTGAAAATTTTATTAATTCATTAGTAAAACAATAAACCCATTACATGTTAACAAAAACATTTTGTGACATTTTCCAAATTAAAAACAGAAAATGGGCATTTTACATTTTAACATTTTATCTCTTTAGTCTTAATAGAATATACCTAATTCTCTTATCTATTTCTTCATTCCATCAGTTGCAATATGGTATTTTAGTTGAAGCATACTTAGAAAATGTAGATTCATACAGAGATATAGTTGGAAAGGGAGTATTTTAATAGCCTTTTCAGGAGTTGTGGATATTCTCTTCTAATGCTACACCAAAATTTGACAAGTGATAGTTTCTCAAAGGTTTGTTACAATGCAGAATATTCAACTTATCAAGGCACTTTTTGTATCATGTTACATCTTATAATTTGAATGGACTGTGTATTATATCACAAATTGGTCATTCGGAAAATATTGGTTCGGTATCTCCCAATTTTTGACACATTAATTAAACAATATAAAAAATGTCATTCACTAATATCAGTACTTTGATTTCATTAGAAAGGTCTGTAGATACTGGGAAGCTGTCAAGCTTACTGTGATAGATGAGGATTTTCACTTGAAAGCTCCAATTTTATCACTGGCAACACTCACTTGTTTTCCTTGAAATGACAAACTCCATTCATTTTTGAAAAATGTACACCAGCCATTCAAGGATGCATAACCACAGCGTATCAGTTTGCTTGAGTGGTGTTCCATGAAAAGCAGCTTGTTTGGCCCATGACTTAACAACTGCACAAATACTTCTCTTCAAATAACCAAAAAGACATGCTTTATGCACTCTCCCACTCGGTCTCACAAAATACTGAAGACAAATCGAGTATTGTGAATAAAATTTATAATTACTGATTCATCAAGACATTCTTTAGTGGCTGTGTGGAAGAACACAAGGACTGCTGAGTACCACTGCCTCAACTTGTGCTAAGGGATCTGCTTACCCATCATGATTTCTGCCACCAGCGGTACAAACAGCACAATGGTAGTGCTCACAGGCATGCGGTTTTGAACAGGCAGGCCCTGCCACGGCCACAGTCGCTGCCGGCCCAGTGAAAGGAGGACACTGCAGCTCTGCATACCCAGCCGCCTAGGGAGATGGCCCTTGTGAGGATTATCAGAGCCTCAAGTCATTACGCACTTAAATCTTAGTGCCTCCGCGCCTGACTGTTGTGCTTGTTATTAAAGCCTTGATGAGCTTTGTTGAGTCAGTAGCCTGGAATCCAATCAAATTTGCGCCCCTGGTGGGACAGTTTCCTTGAGTAAATGCTATTTTATAATTTCTCTATGCAGTTTTTGTTCCTTAAGACACCTTTGAAGTTGCCTATATAGGGATGACACTTTGACAAATCCAAATATATTGGAGTCTACAATAAAAACACATAAAATGTTAAAAATAATACCCACCAAACATATTTCCTCCAGGAAATATTAAAAAATTGTTACTCCTAAGTTCTTGAGATGACCATTCTACTCTACGTAATTTCTGTAGCTGTCATTTGGTGCTTTGAACACAGAGCAATTCTTTTTTGATACCATGAGGTTTATTATGGGCAGGTACGGAGAATGCCACACCTCGTTCAACACATTTTAACATATCGTCCTGAACTGTAAAGGGTGGGAAGCTATGAACGACCTTTCTGAGGTTCCTTTGCAGCCGAGTCTGAGTGTCACTGAGGGTCTCTGCGGTAAGATGCACAAGGTGGGCCTGGGTTTGGGTGCTGCCTTCCATGGCAAGGGGAGCAGATGCGCTCACAGCGGGCTGAAGCAGAGGTGGGCAGGCCTGGAGGGGGCAGCCTCACTGAGCAGCTTCCTGATCCCACCACAGCCAACAGCAACTTGATGGCCCAGTTCTATCATGTGGTTTTGGGGTATATTTCTGGAAGATCAGGGTGTTTTCTGGGAGCTATCTATGTATCTTAATAAACCCTGTGGTTTAAACTACCTCGAGTGGATTTTATTGCCTGTAGTCAAGAACTGACCAACTCACGTTCTAGTAACACTTTTTGTGTCGGGTTTCTACAGCTGCATAGTAGTATGTTATGTTTCTCAATTTCTTTTCTAAGCCAAGACAATGTCCCTTGTATATAGTTAAATGCTGTTAAAAAGAAATCAAACCACTATGGCATTGTTTTAGGAGCTATGATTTTATTACAAAACCACTCTTTTAGCATTAGTTGGTTACAGTGACAGCAAGATCCTGCGAGTGTGGCACAGCAGCTCTAACAGCAACACCTGCACCCCTGCCTCTGGAGCCGAGGACTAAGTGCTTCTCACCCATTCCACACAGGTTACCCGCAGCGCTGATACCGCACCTGGCATGCAGGTGTGGGGACGAGCCCATCCTAAGCAACTGGAGTCCATGTGGATGAACCTACAAAAACTGCTTTGTAGGACTCCGTTCCTTCTCCCTCCCCCGCCAGTCACGTTGCTTTAAAAGGATCGAATACTTAGAGCTAGTCGGCCGGGCAGTGGCTCCCAGGAGCATCTCACCTAGTTCCTGTTAAAAAGCGTAACTGGATAGTGCACGTTCTACGCCGCTGGGAAAGGGACGGCCGCTCGTGTCCAAAGCCTGCATCAGGGTCTCACAACAGTAAAAGCCTCCGCCGCGCCCTCCCAGGAGGTGTCAGTGCTGCACACCTGCTGGCAGGTCACTCTCTGGGCTGTGCTTGCTCTGAAGGGATCTTCCAACGTATGTCCAGTATTCCTTTCTTACAGTGTCCTTCTCTTTAGCTAGGATCTCACACAGCTGAAAATGAGAACCAAAAGTTCACTGATGACATGTGTGATTCCTTCCCAGCAATGATGCTTCCAAGATGGCGCAGTCTGACTCAGACCACGTCAGCGTGAGCTGCGCCACTAGAGCTGCAGGCTCTGGCCACCAGTGCCTCGGGGCTGCCCTGAAGCACCAGCAGCCTTGCACTGAGCTCCCAGTGACCGAGCTGGAAGGGGCATGATCAGCTCAGCAGTGGCCCTAGGCAGACCCAGCTCTGAGATGGGATCCCAAGAACAGAGCAACGAGCCCACCAGCTCACTCACCTCTAATGCTTTATTAAGAATGTCCTCCTGGTTATCACACTGGTTCTCTAGCATGTCTTCATAGATATCCACAAGGAAGGCAATTAGGTAGGGGGAACTGTGACTTGGTTGTAAATCAAGTAATTGATTTAACAGATTGGGATATTTGGAAAGACCGCGATCCTGCAAAATCCTAAAAAAAAAATTATTCTCAATTTTGAGAAGGAAAACCAAGAAAGAGTAGAAAGATCAAGAGAAAGTGACTCCTATAACATACATCAGAAAAGAAGACTTATTTTGAATGAGTGAGGTTGAAATGAAATGAAAATTTTAAATTGTATGTGAGCCTCATCATGGATAACTAAGAGCTGAGTAGAATTAGTATAAGAGAGTAATCGAATTTAAAAGTGATTATTTATAACTCAAACTGCAACACACAAAATTAAAGCAGCTGGTGTGTGCTTAGAGGTGAAGGGGGAGGGCGCTGTTCTTGAGTGTTATCACCTAACACAGCTATCCGGAAAAAGGCAGCATTGAGTAGCCTTCTGGTATCTCATGAATGGAACACATTCCACGATGCATCCTATTAGGCTGATTTTTTATGTAAAGAAGAAAAAACCACCTCTTACCCTTTCAAATAGTTCCATGCACTTTCATTATGTGGTACTAGTTTAATCATTTCCAGAGTGTACCTGGAAGAGAAGGACCACAAATAAATGTGTGTATAATTTTTACAAAGCAGTGCAGTAACTGGAAGCCATTTCAGTGAGACTGGCACAGACTGCACACGGGCTTCTGCTTTCATCACTCTGATGCCTCTCTAGGTCACATCACATTAGACCCCACAGCCAAATTAGAGGCTGCCATTGTCAACTCTTACACAGTTCTTCCCTTCAGTATATTGCATCCAATTCTGGGGAAGGATATTTATGAAGAACTTAATGTGGAGGCTCCATTTACAACAGTAAAAGAAATTAATGTGGGAGATTTCCTTGAATTTAGGCTTTCCCTTGGAAGGAACTGTCAGCTAAAAACAAGATTTTCCTTCTATTGTATTGGTAAAGCAATCTTAGGAGAAAAGTCTAAGGTCTATGTACAACTGACAAATCCTTAGTCACTGGAGAGGAGAACTATATAACCTAAGTAGCTGTAATAAAAAACAGCATGGATGATAATTATAGGTCTGCTTTGGTTATGTAACTGTATTCCTATTATGTTAATGTGTGTACGCAATTTAATTAGTAGTTTAAAACCTATACATGCTTAAGTTACTCTACAAGAAGATATGTCAAAGAAATAATCAATCTTCCCATGTTATCTTCCATCTGCTACTCCTATAGCTTTTCTTCTTCCTTCCTAATTACAACCCTTAAATAGAATTCGTGCCTCATATCGAATTTACTGAGTATCATAATTCTTCCAAGTGGTAAAGATACCTCAAGACAAATACTGGGCATAAAAGCCACAGGGCATAAATCTGCAAAGAAGTAAAAAGCTAACCTTTTCAAACAATATTGCCTCTCTCTCACTTACGAACTTTACATCTCCCTGTATGGCCCTGGAAGATGACTGGTTAGCCAGAGACAGGTAAGATTCCTCAAGGGAGGAACAACCTAAGACAGGCACAGTCGCAGGGGGGCCATCAGGTGAGAAATTGGGGATCAACAGAGGTGAGGCTTAGAACCTCACCCCCCGTTTTGAGAGAAATCTTCTGCATCCGTGGATGTTTTATTGCCCTTGTCTAGCTTGGATTAACACTTAGTCTACAGGCACACACCTGATCATCTAAATTTGCTCTCTTACAGCACTAAACTATGTTTTCTACCTTTATCTTGCATCTACCTACCACTTCAGCATCTTATTAAAAATAATAAAAATAATAAGGGAGAAATGTGGGATTCACATATAAATCAAGTATAAAAATCAAATGAATATTCATATTTGACCTGATTGTTTATAGTTCACAATGTGTGATCAAAACTGAAAGTTTCTGTGATGACTACCCTTGTACTATTCACCATGTAAGAACTTATTCACTATGTAAGAACTTGTTCACCATGTAAGAACTTGTTCGTTATGCTTCAGAATACTGGAGACTGACGAGAATTACGCTTGGGGTGGATTAATGATTGTACATTGAGCATTGAGTCCCCTATACAGAATTTTATTGTTGTTAACAACTATTTGATCAATAAATATGAGAGATGCCCTCTCAACAAAAAAAAAAAGGGAGAGAGTGGGCATCCTTGTCTTGTTCTGATCTTAAAAAAAAAACAAAACAGCATGGAAATTACATACACAAAGAAAATAAATGAGAAACCAATCCAAATGTTCAAAATGAACACTCCCTTTATCTTCCATAACCAGAACATTAAATATAATTCACAGCCAATCACAACAAATTCCCAGGGAGTCACAGAACTTTGCTTCACTATGATTTTGCTCAATTGAGTATGTCACTGATCAAAGTTTATAATCTTGGTTTTATTGCAGTGCTGTTAAAATAGCATTTTTTTCCCCCACAGAGGGTACAGTAATTCCCCCTTATCTGCAGGGGACACATTCTAAGACCCCAGTGTATGCCTAATGACTACATAGTACTGAACCCTACATGTACTGTTTTTTCCTGTGAAAGAGTTAATTAGGTAAAGAGATTAATAACTAATAAAAATACAATTAAATAATATACTGTAATAAAAGTTACATGAATGTGGTCTCTCTCAAAGTATCTTACTGGACTGTACTCACCCTCCTTGTGAAGATAAGAGGATAAAATGCCTATGTGATGAGATGCAGTGAGGGGAATGACATAGGGTTTATAACACAAAGTTAGGCTACACTGACCTTCTGACTTAGGCTACACTGACCTTCTGACAATATCTGTTTCAGGACCATGGCGGACCTCCAGTAACTGGAACCACTGGAAGCTCAAATGCAGGTAAGGGGGGACTGCTGTAGTAATACATTCACTCAGCATTATGAAAAGGTATTCTCTAACTATTTTTACATGACCTAATGTCTTTATTTTTAAAACAGTGTCCCTGTAGGTCTTAATTAGTCCTTGTAGAAGATTCTTAACTTCATTCTAGCAATATTTAAAAACTTTTATTTACACCTCATGCACGAAAGCGTTATCTATATTTCAACAGTTAACAGGTACTCTGAAGTCAGACAGTCTACTGTAAACCCCATCGGTCTGGCCTATGTGCTCTTAGGCACATGGCAGCATTACCTGGAACATCAGCTCTTCATTGGCTCATAGTGTTATTACAAGAGTCAAATAGGAATTCCTGGCAAACAGTAAATGCTTGATGAATGGTAACCACTATTAAATAATACTAGCAGACTATGTACTCACAAGGTAATACGGCCATGGGACATTAAGTGAAGAAAGAAGTACATGTATTATGATTGCTTAGGTTGCTGTGCACGTATGTTGGCAAGTGTATTTACAAGGCTCGGAAAGCTTCACACTAAAGTGTACAGTGTAGCTCACTCTAAAGCACGGATATGGAGAGAGGGAGGATAAGAGATTCTGATGTTTTAATTTATATATTTCAGTAAAATTTCCCCATACAACTAGATTGCATTACTTTTACAATAAAAGGGAAAACACAGAAAATCACAGGCTATATCTACCTATATTCTCAGAATTAAAAAATTTAATTAACAATCTAAATTTTAGATACCTACAGTTACTCCTAGCATTTTAAAGACTTCTTTTGCCTATCCCAATGGTATGCTAAACCTTAAGGGACTGCATCCCCAACCCCTGACACACGGTAACTCTTAGATTCTTGGCTATTTCTATTTTTACTTAGCAACAGAAAGCTAGTGATCTGCCCTTGAAGGTTATGAGATGTTTGCACTTTCCAAACTCTTCACATTCAATTTTTAAATATAAATTAGGCTTCATTAAAGCCTAGGGAAGTATGCTACAGAAAAAGAATATGTAATATTTGAAATCCCTAAGTATTCACTGGGTTAATTCCTGAATAACCTGGAGCATTCTTTTTGCAAGAAGGCTACTGAACTTCTACAGGATGAGGCTGGCTTTGCTTCAGAGTATCTTTTCTCTAGTCCTCAGAATACCAACCCTAAAAGAAAAGAACAGTAACAGAGCACTGGATAACATGCCTGAATTTTCTTTACTTGAGTCTCTGTATTTAGGTTTGAGTAAAAATAATAAAATTACTACAGCAAGTCCACTGGTATTCTTTAGATCAATACTATTCTACAGAACTTCCTATGATTATGGAAATGTTCTTCCTCTGTGCAGTCCAATGTGGCAGTCACTAGTCACACACAGGTACTGAGTCCAGAATTAGGATTAGTGCACCTGTGAACATTTTACATAATTCTCATAAACTTGAATCGACGCAGCCACACATGGATAGTGGCTGCCACACTGGGCACTGCAGTTGGGAGCAAGCCCAGGCACGCTGAGGGGCAGGTGGCTTACCCCAGAAGGAAGCCTGCAGCGGAGTAATGCAGGATGCTTGCTGGAGGACACACTGGTCTTTTTTTAAATTTAAGTCATTAGAACCTTATAAAGCAGAGGTAAAGGAGCTGGCTGCAACTGTCCAAGCAGTCCAAGGGAGACAACAGGCAGAAGTGCCATAAAAATCAGCTCTTTTATAAAATTAATTATAAAACAACTTTTATAATTGAAATTAGATTTTGGTTTCATCAGGCTATAAAACAATAAATATGTTCAAATTTAAACCAGACACGGAGGCAAAATACACAAGGTCCGGGAACATAAAAACTCATGCCAATTCAGAAATTTCTAGCTCTTGTAACAGCTTTTTTGTATGTCAGAGCAATAGTTTTCAACTAGGATGATTCAGCCCTTCACTGTCTGAAGAGGTTTTTATTTGCCAGAGTTTGGTGGGGTGTGGAGTCGGGGGGTGTTACTACTAGAGCATAGGGAATAAAGGCCAGGAATGCTGCTGACATCTGATGCTGCAAGAACAGCCCTACAGCAAAGACTTATCTGGCCCACACGCCTGCACTAGAGTAACACGGCGTCTGGGGAGTAAGGGCAACAGAACTTAATGAGACAGTTTTAAAACAAACCTTCCTTTAAAACAAACACTATGAAATCTGATTTCTTCTTAATCTGGAGTAGCAAAAATATTTCGAGACCCTTCAGCACCACAAAGCTGAGGTATACCATACTATATATAAATGTATCCTTCTAGTTTCACCTAAGTGTTCTGTCCTGTTGGTTCTGTGAGGGTAGAATCAGGGGCAGTCTTGAACTTTAGGCATCCCCAATCCCTGACACATGGTGAAAACACAAATGTTCTTTTAATGAGTGAACAAATGCAGGTTACTAACTGGACTTCTCTCTCCAACACAGCACGATCATTGTAGCCAGTGGTGTTAGAGATGACAAAGTATCTTTGGTTCCAGACGGAGTTATTTCTCACATCCTCATTAAGGAGTTGGTCTACATACTGCAACTCATTATCCCAAAGTTTAAATTCCTAAAAGAAAACACAGAAGAAAACACCCAATAAAAAAATGCCCATTATTTATAAATAATAAAATTAAACAAACCAAACTTCAGCAAAGCCAAGTAGATAGAACTGAAGACACGGGTCTCATCACATATTTGGAGGAAAATGATAGCTGCAGGTCAAGAAGAGAGAGCAGCCAGTGGCCTGTAATTCAGTACCATATTCCCAAGAACAATTTAGATACCAAGAGGGGTGTTTACACTATTTGACCCCAGAATTATTCTAAAGAACTAAATCAAAAGCAAAAAATGTATATGGAACTCAATGCTTATACACTGTTCATAGCAAAAATTAAGAGGGTAAAACCAAACTTAGTAATAAGAGAACAAGTAGCTATAGTATATTAATTTGGATGTCAATACATAATATGAAGTAAAAAGGAAGTTTTAAATACACATGTGTGATAAAATTACATTAAAATACATGTAAAGAAATGTACACAATTAGATTTAGAAATACATTTTTATAGTATAAAGCTGTTTTGATAAAAAATTATAAGGAGAAAAGAATAAAGAATCTGAAAAAGGAGAATGGTCAAAACTTAGAAATGCTGTAAAAATTGGGGACATTAACTATAAAAAAAGCTAATGGGGGGGGGGGAAGATGGCAGAGTAGGAAGGCAAGGGGGAAACCTCCTCCCCCACACACACCAAGGAAACAACTACAGCAAATGCAACTAACCCTGAAAATGACGTGAAGACTGCAGAACAGACCTTTACACCTGGGGAAGGAGAGACCAGCTCACAGAGAAGGGTAAAGGGGCAGAGCTACCATCAGTCAGGACTCCAGCCCTTCCCCCATCCCAGCCCACAGGCAGGAGGAAGAGAATGGAGCAGAGCGGGGTGGGGACAGGCGCCCAGGAACTCTGCACAACTGGCCCTGATCTGCTCTGGGAACACGAGTCGACACTGCACTGGGTTCTGGTGACTAGCAAGGGCTGGACACCAGAGACAGCTGGAGCACTGTGGGAGGCTGAGGCTCTTACTGCTTGTGGAGGACCCGGATGCTCCCTCAGTCCCACTGACACCCAAAGCAGAGAAGGCAGTTTGAAAGATTTATCAGCAGTGGGAGAGGTGGGGGTTGGACACAGCTCTCTCCCCAGGAAAAAGGGCAGGTGGACAACACTTACCCCAGCCCTCCCCTGACCCAACTCATTGGGTACCCTTGGGAGCCCTAAATGCTCCATCCCCCTTACTGCCAGTTCAGCCCAGAGGTGCCTCCCTGAGCTCTGCCCACCCAGCCCAGCAGCATCAGACTTTGCTGCCCTGTAGGCAGAGGGAGGCTTTCCCAGCTTTTTTAGCCCTTTCTCAGCCCAAATGGGGAGATGCCTTCAGGAGTCAGCTCTGAGCGCTCCTTCCTTCTTGTGGGTAGCCCAGCCCAGCCCCCTAACGCACACCCACCCTGCCCATCTCATCAGCCCAGCAGCAATAACAGTGCTGCAGGGCAGAGGGTGGTCCCACCCACAACATCCCAACAGAAGGTCCTCTGCTTGGCTCACAAAGGGCCTGCTGAGGCAGACTGCCATGCTCAGCAGACTGAGATAGACCTAGACCACTGGAGGCAGACAGGCAGAAAGGCATCCCTGCCCACAGCCCACCACCAGCAATTGGCGCTCCACCACAAAGGAGAACCAGGCACTGGACAGTAAAGAGTCTTGAGCTTCTGGGCACCACAGGACGCCTTCTTCATAAAGTCATTACTCTCTAGAGCAGGAAGCATAGCAGATACATCTAATACAAAGGAAGAAACACAGAAACCCTGACAAATGAGGAGGCAGAGGAATATGTACCAAACCAAAATACAGGATAAGACACCAGAAAGAGGGCTAAATGAAATGTAGATCACCATCTTCTTCATTAGATCTCAAAGTGACAGTCATAAATATGCTCACTGACCTGCAGGGAAATACTGACGATCTCAGGGAGGACTTCACAAAGAGAAGAGATGAAAAACAGCCACTCAGAGCTGAAGAACACAGTGATCGAGATGAAATACACAATGAAGGGAATGAATAATAGATTGCTGCAAGCAGGGGAGACAATCAATGAGATGAAAATTAGAGAACAGGAGCACAACGAAGCTGAGAAACAGAAAAAAGAGTCTCTAGGAACGAGAGGACATTAAGAGAGCTGTGTGACAACTCCAAATGACACACTATTCACATAATAGAGGCACCAGAAGAAGAGAGACGAAGGCGTAGAAAGTCTCCCTGAAGAAGTAATTGGTGAAAACTTCCCCAAACTGGTGAAGGAAATAGATTCTCAGGTCCTGGAAGCTTAGAGAGCCCCTAACGAAAGAACTCCCAGAAGACAACACCAAGGCATAACAATTAAAATGACAAAGATTAAGGATAAGGAGAGGGTACTGAAAGCAGCCAGAGAAAAAGGATTACTTATAAGAGAAACCCTATCAGGCTATCAGCAGGCTTTTCAGGCAGACCACAGACCAGGAGGGAGGGGCATGAAATATTTAATGTACTAAAACAGAAGGCCCTTCAACTTAGAATCCTCTACCCAGCGAGATTACCATTCAAATTTGAAGGAGAGATTAAACATTTCCCAGATAAAGGCTGAAGGAATTTACAATCACTAAACCAGCATTTACAGAATATGTTAAAGGGACTGCTGTAAATGTAAATGTTCTTAGTTTTCACCATTGAAAATAAACCCACAGTAAAGGTAGCAGAACCAATTATTTACCAAGCAAGTATGAAATTAAAACAATCCAAAAGTAGTAAAACCAGTCAAATACATAAACCAGTCAAGTGGTACACAAAAAATGCTTATTATGACACCTAATATATAAAATATGGAGGAGGAGGAAGAAAAAAAAAGTACTTTTAGACTGTGTTCAAAACAGAGCAACCATCATCTTAATATAGACTGTCATATATTTAGGAAACTATCTATAAACATTATGGTAACCACAAACCTAACGCCTATAGTAGATACACAAAAAATCAGAAAAGAGAAATCCAACCACAACACTAAGGAAAACCATCAAATAATAAGAGATGAGTATAAGAGAGGAAGTAAGGAACAGAGGGACTACAAAAACAAGCAGAAACAATTAATAAAATGGCAACAAATATCAGTAATGACCTTAAATGTAACTGGACTAAATGCATCAATCAAAAGACACAGAATGGCAGAATGGATAAGGAAACAAGACCCGTCTATATGCTGCCTTCAGGAGACTCATTTCAGACCAAAGACATACACAGACTAAAAGTGTAGGGATAGAAAAAGATATTTCATGCAAACAACACAGAGAAAAAACCAGAAGTAGCAATACTTACATCAGACAAATAGATTTCAAAACAAAGACAGGTAACAGGAGACTCAATGATAAAGGGGTCAGTCCAGCATATAAATACCTATGCACCCAAAATAGGAGCACCTAAATATGTAAAACAAATACTAACAGAATTAAAGGGGGAAATAGAATGAAATGCCTTGATTTCAGGAGAATTAACACACCACTCACATCAATAGACAGATCAACCAGACAGAAAATAAGGAAACAGAGGCACAGTACAATACATCAGAACAGATGGACTTAACAGACATCTACAGAACACTCCATGCAAAAGCAGCAGGATACACATTTTTCTTAAGTGCACATGGAATGTTCTCCAGAATAGATCACATACCAGGCCACAAAAAGAGCCTTAGTAAATTCAAAAAGATTGTATCAAACAACTTCTCAGACCACAATGGTATGAAACTAGAAATAACTTACACAAAGAAAACAAAACCCCCCACAAACATATGGAGGCTAAACAACATGCTTCTAAATAATCAATGGATCAATGAACAAATCAAAGTAGAAGTCAAGTAGTATGTGGAGACAAGCAAAAACAAAAATACAACAGTCCAAAATTTGTGGGACACCACAAAAGTGGTTCTAAGAAGAAAATATATAGCAACACAGGCCTACCTCAAGAAACAAGAACAATCCCAAATAGTCTAAACTCACAATTGAAGAAACTAGAAAAAGAAGAACAAATGAAACCCAAAGTTAGTAGGAGGAGGGACATAATTAAGAGCAGAGCATACATAAATAAAACAGAGAATAAAACAATAGAAAAAAAATCAATGAAATCAAGAGCTTATTCTTTTGAGAAGGAAAAACAAAATAGACAAACTCCTATCCACACTTATCAAGTAAACAAAATTAGAAACAAAAGAACAGTCACAATTGACACCACAGAAATATAAGAATTATTAGAGAATTCTATGAAAAAATTATATGCCAACAAATTGGACAACCTAGAAGAAATGGGCAAATTCCTAGAAAAATATCACCTTCTAAGACTAATCAAGAAACAGAAAATCTGAAGACCAATTACAAGAAACAAAACAGAAACTCACAACAGACAGAAGTTGAGGATCACAGCTGAATTTTACCAAACATTTAAAGAAGAGGTAATACACACACATCCTTCTTAAAGTATTCCAAAAAGCAGAAGAGAAGGGAATACTTCCAAACTCATTCTGAGGCCAACATCACTCTAACACCAAAACCTCAACAAAATATTAGCAAACCAAATTCAAAAATACATCAAAAGGATCATTCATCACAAACAAGTGGGAGGATGGTACAATATTTGTAAATCAATCACTATGATACATCACATTAACAAAAAAGGAATAAAAACCATGTGATCATCTCAATAGATGCTGAAAAAGCATCTGACAAAATTCAACATCCATTCATGATAAAACTCTCAACAAAATGGGTATAGAGGGCAAGTACCTCAACATAATAAAGGCCATATACGACAAACCCATAGCCAACATTGTACTTAATGGCAAAAAGCTGTTTCCTCTAAGATCGGGAACAAGACAGGGATGCCCACTCTCACCACTTTTATTCAACATAGTTCTGGAGGTCCCAGCCACGGCAATCAGACAACACAAAGAGATAAAAAGCATCTAAATTGGTAAGGAAGAAATTAATTTGCAGATGACATGGTATAATACACAGAAAACCCTAAAGAATCCACCAAAAAACTATTAGAACTAATAACTGAATTCAGCAAAGTTGCAGGATACAAAATTAATACACAGAAATCAGGAGAAATCAGGAAAGAGAAATCAGGAAAACAAGTCCATGCACAATTACATCAAAAAGAATAAAATACCTAGGAATAAAAACCTAATCAAGGAGATGAAAGACCTGTACTCTCAAAACTGTTAACACACTCATAAGAAAAGAGTACCAAATAAACAGAAATCTATCCTGTGCTCATGGATAGGAAGAATTAATATTGTCAAAACGGCCATCCTGCCCAGCGCAATTTACAGATTCAATGCAATCCTTATCATAATACCAATGGCAGTGTTCAATAAACTAGAGTGAATAATCCTAAAACTCATATGGAATGACAAAAGACCCTGAATAGCCAAAGCCATCCTGAGAAGAACAGAACAGTCCCTGACTTCAATCTATACCACAAAGCTACAGTAATCAAAATGTAAGACATGAAGCCATAAAACCATTAGAAGAAAACATTGGCAAAATCTTTTGAACATAAACATGAGCAATTTTTTCTTGGACACAGTTCCTACAGCAAGGGAAACAAAATGAAAATGAACTGGGACTACATCAAACTAAAAAGCTTCTGTACAGCAAAGGACAGCATCAACAAAACAAAAAGGCAACCTACGGTATGGGAGAATATATTTGTAAATGATTTATCCAATAAGGGGTTAACATCCAAAATTAAAGAACTCATATACCTCAACACCAAAAAAACAAATTTGATTAAAGAATGGGTGGAGCACCTGAACATACATTTTTCCATAGAAGAAATACAGATGGCTGAAAGATACATGAAAAGATACTCCACAATGCTAATCATCAGGGACATGCAAATTAAAACCACAATGAGTTACTACCTCACACCAGTTAGAAAGGCCACTATCCAATAGACAAGAAATAACAAGTGTTGGCAAGGATGTGGAGAAAAGCCCTCCCACACTGTTGGTGGGACTGTCAATTGGTGCACCCACTGTGGAAAGCAGTATGGTGGTTCCTCAGAAAACTAAAAATAGAAATACCAAACCACTCAGTAATTCCACTTCTAAGAATTTACCCAAAGAAAACAAAATCCCTGATTTGAAAAGATATATGCACCTCTCTGTTTACTTCCACATTATTTACAGTAGCCAAGTTATGGAAGCAACCTAAGTGTCCATCAATAGAAGAATAAAGATGTGGTACATATACACAATGTAATATTTTTCAGTCATTAAAAAGAAATCCTGCCATTTGCAACAACATGGATGGATCTAAAGGGTATTATGCTAAGTGAAATATAAAAACAAAACAAAACAAAACGAACAAAATAGCAGTAGACTCACAGACATTGAAAAGTGACTGGTGGTTATGATGGGGAGAGACTGGGGTGGGTAGGTGGGGAGTGTGGCAGGGATAAATGTGCACAAAGATTCTCAATCAACACATAAGTTGGTCACGGGGACGGGAGCACAGCATGGAGAATATAGCTAATGATTCTGTAACATTTTTCTATGTTGACAAACTGCATTAGTGGGGGTGAGAATTTAATAATACGGCTAACTGCTGAACCACTGCGTTGTACACTTGAAACCAATATAAGACTGTATGTCAACTATACTTCAAAAAAAAAAGCGAATGGAGTTGTATTTCTTATTTGTGTCATATATGTGGCACAAAGAGCAAAAAACAATTTCATAAAAAATAAAAATGAATATTTTTAGAAAATGTATCTCTTTAATCAAATTTAGAAAAACTTCAAATTTTAAGTAAGAAGATTTTTGGTGAAAAGCTCTTAGTATAATGAAGTGTACAGTTAGCAGCCATCACTGGAAAAAAATCCACAGGAAACACTAGAATTGTTTGCTAGAACAAATAAAATGCCCAGGGTGGGAATTATAACTATTCTTTTCTATTCAGGATTTAGCATATAATTTTAACAGCGGGAGAGAAATGAAATACATAATAGTTACTGCAAAATCATATTCAAAGCTTATATATGCAAAAACCTTACTTATTATGTATTATGTGCTTGTTAAAGTGTAACACGTGTATTAAAAACATTACAGCTACTTTTTCTATCCAATTTACTAACAAATATAAGAGATGATGCAAATTCAATCTAAAAATAATAAAAAGTTACCATCATTCTTTAAGATGAAGCTACTTACCAACATATCTCATGAGATTATAAAGGTTAACCAACATGAAGGGCATCAAGTTGTAATTAAGTGTCTTACTAATTCTATCTTGTGTGTTAGTGATCTGTGTGCTTTGGTTCAGAAATACACTTACAACTCAATGGTAATCTTAATTATTTAATTTAGTTAAAAAATAAAAATCTGGAAAACACTGTAATAAGAGAGGCAATACCTGAATAACCCACTGTCGATGTTGCCAGGCATGGTAATTCTTTGCATCCTGGTTAAGAATATCAGCAATAAACTCAAGCTCCTGAGATGGATCTTTTAGCCATTCCACTAATACTCGCCTATGATGCCTAAAGAGGGAGAAGAAGGGAGAGGTTTGTGTTCATTACCACGAAGCTACATGTGTTGTACTAGGTGACAGGGAAGGACACTCAAGAAACAAACTCATCTCTAATTCTCACGACTCTACTGGACAGAAAAGGTAACACAAAAGAAATTCCAAGGGAAAAACTTTCAGAACACTAAGAGTCAAGAAACTTAAAACGGTGATTTGTGCATAAAATGAGATCAGATAGTTAGGGCTAAAAGGTTTACCTGAAACAAAATCTGTAAGTACAGTAATTTTTTGATGACCACAAAACTGCCAAAGAATCCTGAAACACTCCCTGACAGCAGGAGCCTGTGGGACATGTTCAATCCATAGGAGAAACGCCTCTGGGTGTAAGTAGGCGGTCTGTTTTTCTTAAGTCCACCGTGTCACCAAACAAGCAACTGCTCATTCGGCCAGTTTGTGGGCAAAATAGGATTTCAATTCTACTTTGGCAAGCTGCTATAACAAGCTGCAACTTGGTCAAAAGAGGAGTTTCTGTGCTGGGAAAATACTTCTGAAAGTTTCCTATTGAGTTCTATTTTATAATTTTTTTTAGCTAAATATTTGTAAAAATCCATTAGCAAAAGTGTTAAAAAATTCACTGATGGCTGCACATATTTGGAGACATATTAAAACCACTGAAATATACACTTTAAAATGGGTAAATAGTATGGTAATTAAATAAATTAAGCACAATAAAGCTGTTTTTCAAAAAATCCATTAACATTCATTATACGAAAAGTGAGCAAGAATGATGGGGAAAGATTCAATGCTTAATAAATGATCTATTCTGCATGTATAAAAAATTTTTAAATTCACCTTACAAAATATTAAGAAGGCAAGATGCTACCAAGAAGAATATACTAGAGGGAGAGGTTTCAGAATAAATTATTTTAGAAACCTTCCAAGTCAGTCAACACTAGTACTAATTATTATTTTCAGGTTTGCTGGCAAATTCTGTAATTTAGGAATAACTTCAGAACTACACACTTTGGCATGTCAAATTTACACTCTGACATTCTATGCCTTAAAGAGTATTAACTAAATACAGGGTTTTAATCCTACAGCAGAAGCTTTCATTGTGAGAATTCATTAAAAAGTGATCAGTTAATTAGGACACAAGACCTGTATTAGTTGTACTGCACTGCTTCTAACAGCAACTAGCACAATGGGCTATTGAAAATGTTCGGCAACTTAAAAACTGCTGGGTTTTCAACAGCAGCTTCTCTGGGTAGCTCTGAAATTTTATTTTTCTTAACAAAGGTGAAAAGGTGTTAAAGACAGTGTCTGTAATATGCACAAAAGAAAGCTATTTCTCTGCAGCATAAATTATATGTAACCAAATACTGGAAGTACTTGCCATATCTGGATTATACAGCCACAGAGTTTACATGAGCACCTTAATTCTGCAGGGTAAATCACTTTTTACTGAGGGTCCAAAACTCTCTAGGAATAATTGCTTTTTTCACAAACACATTAAAAAAATTTTCTTAAAATTTTGGTATCATTAATATACAATTACATGAGCAACATGCTGGTTACTAGATTCCCCCCATTATTAAGACCCCACCACATACCCCATTACAGTCACTGTCCATCAGCATAGTAAGATGCTATAGGGTTACTACTTGTCTTCTCTGTACTATACTGCCTTTCCCGTGCACTCCCCTGACATTATGTGTGCTAACCATAATGCCCCCTTTTCCCCTTATCCCTCCCTCCCCACCCATCCTCCCCAGTCCCTTTCCCTTTGGTAACTGTTAGTCCATTCTTGGGTTCTGTGAGTCTGCTGCTGTTTTGTTCCTTCAGTTTTTCTTTCTTATGTTCCACAGATGAGTGAAATCATTTGGTACTTGTCTTTTTCTGCCGGGCTTATTTCACTGAGCATAATACCCTCTAGCTCCATCCATGTTGTTGCAAATGGTAGGATTTGTTTTCTTCTTAGGCTGAATAATATTCTATTGTGTATATGTACATCTTCTTTATCCATTCATCTACTGATGGACACAGGTCGCTTCCATTTCTTGACTATTGTAAATAGTGCTGCGATGAACATAGGGGTGCATATGTCTTGTTCAAACTGGGCTCCTGCATTCTTAGGGTAAATTCCTAGGAGTGAAATTCCTGGGTCAAATGGTATTTCTATTTGTAGTTTTTCGAGGAACATCCATACTGCTTTCCACAATGGTTGAACTAATTTACATTCCCACCAGTAGTGTAGGAGGGTTCCCCTTTCTCCACATCCTTGCCAGCATTTGTTGTTGTTTGTCTTTTGGATGGTGGCCATCCTAACTGGTGTGAGGTGATATCTCATTGTGGTTTTAATTTGCATTTCTCTGATGATTAGCTATGTGGAGCATCTTTTCATGTGCCTGTTGACCACCTGAATTTCTTCTTTGGAGAAGTGTGTGTTCAGCTCCTCTGCCCATTTTTTAATTGGATTATTTGCTTTTTGTTTGTTGAGGTGCGTGAGCTCTTTGTGTGTTTTGGATGTCAACCCCTTATTGGATAGGTCATTTATGAATCTATTCTCCCACACTGTAGGCTGCCTTTTTTTTCTATTGGTGATGTCCTTTGCTGTACAGAAGCTTTTCAACTTGATATAGTCCCACTTGTTCATTTTTGCTTTTGTTTCCCTTGCCTGGGGAGATATGTTCATGAAAAAGTCGCTTATTTTTATGTCCAAGAGATTTTTGCCTGTTTTTTTTCTAAGAGTTTTATGGTTTCATAACTTACATTCAGGTCTTTGATCCATTTCAAGTTTACTGCCTGTGTATGGGGTTAGACGGTAATCCAGTTTCATTCTCTTACACACAGCTGTCCAATTTTGCCAATACCAGCTGTTGAAGAGGCTGTCATTTCTCCATAGTATATCCATGGCTCCTTTATCGTATATTAATTGACCATATATGCTTGGGACCAACACAGTTTATAATGTAATTTCTCAGGCGCAGTCCCATTTTTTAAAGAGGCTACAGTGGTAAAACTGTTTAAAATTTTACAAATTAAATCCACAACAGTAATCACATCCATACTTTGCCAAATAATCTTCAGTTATGTACTGTTAGGTCTATTGTGTTCTAATTCTTTAAAAATTAATTTTAGTTACTTCTTCTAGAAATAAAGTTAAATATCTACATATGGTTACTACTTCTTAATGGTAATACTTGATTTTACAATTACTGCTACTTACTGGGCCAGAGAGCAATTCACGCTCCTTCTAGGGCTAACCCAAACCCATGCTTTAGATCCTTCCCAACTCCAAGCCCTTACTCCACTCCCCCTCCCCTCTGCCCCAATTCTCACCTTCTCTCTTTCTGTTAACACTTCCCTCACCACGAAGTCTTTATCACCTTGGAAAAACAAGAAAACATACCCCTGACTAGCAGTCTCCCATGTCTTTTTTCCCAACAGCCAAACTTCATCTCCCATTTGATTCAACCCACAGCTACATGGCTTCCTTCCTCTTCCTACTACTTCCTTCCTGCCCCGGCAACCACTCACCCCACCCCTAGTGGAAGGTTTGCTCATGCCAACACCACTAACCACCAGCTATCAAATCCACTGGTCACCTTTCAGTCCTGACATTCCCTGACCTCTCAGGAGCTGATCCTGTCATCCATTCCTCCTTGAAACTCTCGTTGCTTGGTTTCTATGATGACACTAACTTTGGTCTCCTTCCTCAGTCATCCTGGAAAACTTCTCTGCCTCTTAAGTGGCAACACTCACAAGCGTTCTATCCTCAACCTTCTGCTCTAATGCTCCCGAGGATCCTCACCCAGCTACGACTTCAACTCCAGTGAGCATTTTTCACCCACTTTCTGAGCAGCTTCACACAGGTTTTCCACAAGCACATCAGACCCCTCTCGTCCAATACTAAATCCATCCCTCTTTCCCAGAAATGCACAACTGTCTCCCAGATTTCCTACATGGTGGCACCACCGTTCACCCAGTGGTCAAACCACATATACAAACATTGTTCTTCTCCATTACGCCCCCAATAAATCAGATGTCAGAACCTGTTGCTTCTGTCTCCAAAACCTTTCTCAAATTTATCCTTATCACACTCCTACTCCACTTTCTTCTAACCTGTATCATGGCAGTGGCCTACAAGGACTGTGGGCCTACTCCAGTCCATCCTCCCCACCTGTCGGGGTCACCCTCTATGACACAATATATTCGTGTTACTTCTTTAATTACAACTTGTCACAGCTCTAAGGTCAAGCCCACACCCCTTATCAATGTTCATAGGCCCTTTATGATCCCAGCCCACAACTCCCCACATGTACTCTGATCAAAGAGTGCCACGTGGTTATCAGTGCATCACACCTGTTCTCATTCCTCCCTCCAGGACATTTTCTTTGCCTCAAAGGTCTTTCCTCTCAGAAATCACCCTTAAGTCATGAGCCTAAAGACAGGGTGGTGTGTGTCTGTCATTCTAGAGGAAAAAAGGAAAATGGAGGAAACTCCTGCACTTTAAGCAGGCAGTCCATGGCCCAGCAAACAGAAACAGCTCTTGAAGGCACACACGCGGCCTCTTCTACCTCCTCCTCTACCACCCCTCCCGGCTGTTTCTTCCTTGATCACCACAGCGGCCATCACCACCCAGAACAGCAGCCCCAGTAGCTTCCGTTCACGGGATGTTCACTACATGCCAGGTACTCTTTCCTATTTGTTCTCTGTCTTCTTGCGCTAACTTCTCTCCTTCTGTTCCCCCACCCATATTAATCCCCCTACTCGTCTGTGCTAACTTAGGGGCCTACTTTCTAGAAGAATTTACTCTGTGAAAAACCCTACCATTATGCTTTACACACTGCACTGGAAAATAACTGGTTTTATTATGTTTCCCTTTTAGACCACGTTTGGTTCATCTCTGTATCAGCAGCATCAATAAAATGGTTTGAATGAACAAATGAGAAAAGACCAAATACCAAAAGGTCATTTTATAACTTAACAGAAAACATTTCTTTACACTTTTTTACCTAAAAATTTTTTTCTGACTCCAGCAATATTACATGCTAATGCCCAAATTTTACGCCACAATAGCAGCAAACATGTGAGTATTACTTATGGCTCAGGCACCTCTTTACGCCCTCAAGATAAATTATCACATTTATTCCTTCTAACAACCCTGTGACACAGGCAACATTAGTTCCAATGCCAAGTACAGACACAAACGCACACTGCCTCACAACCCCATCACCCAGGGCACCACCCAGGGGCACCACCCAGGGTCAGGGACAATTAGCACAGTGACAGATTTCCTTCCCCGTATCATCTTACCAAACTTGATAGTTTTTGGGCTGCTCCTCAATGATTGCAGTGATGTAGCTCATTTCCTCATGCAGATCCTTCTGGAGTGACTTTAAGAGAACTCTCCGGAAATGCCTGCAGTGAACACCAAGCAGCCAGTCTTACTACTCGACACCAGAGGTGTCCACGTTATCAGATAAAGCTACAGGGCACCAGCAGAGCCACACGCATTTCTTGGGGAAGGTGTTTATATAACCAGTAGTTTAGCAAGTTAACTGGCTGTCCAAACTCAGACAGCGGTCTGGCGATGGGAAGAATGAAGCATCTTGAAGTAAACATAGTGAAAGGCAACAAATGGAGAAAGGAGAGAAGACAAGCAACTGACGAGTATTCCGAGTAAGGCTCTGGTCACTGGTGCTCTGTTACATAAGACTCACAGACATCTTTCCCTATATGGCACAGCTTGTTCTTTTAGATATGTTAGTCATGTAATAAATTAATTATCCAATATTTTACTCTTAGAACCTCTTCAAAAATGAAATAAATTTCTCTTTAATTTTTTCACATGTGTAGTCAATCTATTTTTACTTCAAAATTTCAAAATTCCAACTCAATACATAAAAGACAAACAGCTGCTTTAACATTTATCTTCAAAAATAAAATGCTAAGTAGGAAAAATAACGTATTTCTCTCCTATATTATTAAGGAAAATTAGACTTCACAGAATACGTACATAAGACAGTAGCTTGGTTTATACAGGTAATGATTTTAGCGGTTACTGCTTCTTTTTTTTTAGGAGCAAACTCAGGAACCCTTAAAATGCTATCGAAGTTGCTTTGTGTTATATACAGTCAAGAATTTCTTAAAAAGTTAAAAAAAGTCCATATTGGAGCCATTACACTAAGTGGACAGAACGATGGAATATCACACTAAGAATTCCAGTTAAACATGGTAGATTAAATTAATAAGTTTATTTCCACTGCCTAATAAAACCCCACCAAAATGATAGTAAAGGAATAAGAAATGGTATAAATCCACAAGAACAAAGAGCTTTGGGGACAAAGGGATACTACAGCAACTTGAAGAGGTCAACAAAATTGTAGAAAATAGTAAACTGACTTAGAAAACAGAAAGTGCTAAAGTATATCAACAGAGAAAAAAAGGCTCAGAAATCAGAGGTATGGGGTATTTCCAAAATTGGGAGTCAAGGGTGGGGCTTAAAACAGTGTCAAGTCTAGAAAGAGTCCTTGGCAGTCAAGATCCCTCCCCCGACCCTGAACAGAGAGGTGCCATCATTCCTGACCTAGTGCAAGATAACAGAAAAAATACACATATATTTGTCCCCAGTTCCTGGCACACAGACCCTAAAACCCTGTACTTCCTGAGAGCTGGGAGCACCTCTTGTTCTATCCTTGGTCTCTGATCTGATCCGACACAGGGCTCCTGAAACCATTGCAGCTTTCAGTAATGAGAGCACCTAGGAGCATTGTTTGTTCTACTGAAGCGACTCAGGGTGGGCTCCTGCACAGCTCCCAGGCAACACGAAGACCAAGCCACAATGAGGCTTGGAATTTTCAGTCCCACTTCCATTCTCCACAGAGGGGAGGGGCTGGAACTGGAGTTAATACCCAATCATACCTATGCGAGGAAAACTCCGTCTCGTAACACCCTAACAGTCGGAGGGAGGTTCAGAGGCCTTCCAGGTGGGGGACCACATCCTCCACCCAACTCCAAAGATGCAGCACTCAAGAGCCCCAGAGACCTCGCCACGTGTCTCTCCATCTGGCTGTTCATCTGTATCCTCTACCACATCCTTTAATGAACTGGTAAAAGTAAGTGTTTCCCTGAGTTCTGTGAGCGACTTCAGAAAATTAACTGAGCCCAAGGAGGGGGTCACAGGAACCCAATTGATTGGTCAGAGGCACAGGGAACAACCTGGGCTTGCGACTGGCATCTGCAGCAGAGGGCAGTCTTGGGGCTGAGCCCGGGACCTGTGGGGTGTGGTGCTATCTTCAGGTAGACAGCGTCAGAATTCAGTTACACTGTAGGTCCCCCAGCTGGTGTCTGAGAATTGCTTGGCTAGGGAAAACCCCACACACATTTGGTGACAAAAGTGTCACAGTGAAGTGTTTTGTGTGAGAGTAAACAAGACATACAGGAAGAGGACTGGGGCTTTTTCTAAAAAACATGGGCAAGAGACAAGTAGCTTTATTCTGTGGTAATACCAGGCAGAAAAGAACAGCAGACACAATGGAAGGTAGGGGGAGGTAAAGGACTGGAAACAAGGAAATTTAAAATGCTGGCATACTGAACAGCTGAGACTTCCCCCCACCCACCACAGTCTTTTCCTGCGTGACCCCCAGGACTGTGGCAGCCAAATGCCCACTCCTCCCGCAATAACCAGACAATTCTTTGGAGAAAAAAACTAGTCAAGAAAAAAAAAAACACTAGAAACACCATCGTGAAGATTTCACACTCAACATGTGTGCCACATCTCCAAACTCAACTCACATCACAGGGAAGCCCTCCCGTTGACAAGTCCTTCAACAGAGTGAGCCTCCAATCCAGCCTTTCTCCTGCCTCCATTGTAAGTATGAAAAGAGAGTCAAGGATTACCAATCATATGAAAAACATTTGCATGAAAAAAGAGACCAAAACAAATAAACAGAAAAATGAAAATACATTACATTTATGAAAAAAGGCAAGAGGCAAGATGCTATTAAAGAAGCATATTCAAAGTACAAAAAAGAGCTCTCAGAAATTAAACATAAGTGCAGATAGGATTAGAAGATAAAAGCTGAGAAAATAGCTCAGAAGTAAATAAAAATACAAAGAAATGAAAATAAGACAATCCAAGAGGAACATGCCTTCACACAGGCATTCCAGAAAGAGAAAACAGGAAAGAGAGAAGAAATTACCAGAAGAGCATACAAAAACTCCCTGGACATAAAGAAAAGGTTTAAACAAAGGAATGAGAGGCTTCTCAGTCAGAGGTTAAATGAAATAGGAAAACAGCTCTAAAATTCTGAAAAAAAAAAAAATTATTTCCAGTCTAGAATTCTATTAATAATGCTGAGAAGACTAAAGATACTTTGAACTGTGTAAAATCTGAGAAACTATTTCCTAAGTTCTCTTACTCAAAAGTCCATAAAATGAGAGATTACATCAGGAAAGAGAAGGTGTTGGATGTGGGCAACAGGATCTCAGACACAGAGCCGCACACTAGCTGCCCAGCGCCCACTGGGGAAAAGGCACAGGAGCAGAGGGGTTACCTCTGTGTTCAGTAGTAAGGCGACATTTCCATGTCAGAAGCTGGGAGACAAGTCATCACTTAGCAGAAAGAAAACTAAACTAGACAAAAAAGGCAATATGTTAAAGGGAAGGCAATTATACTATAAAATGTGGTCAGCAGGAACGATAAACCGATTCCTAATATAACTAGAAACAGTGATGGAGACAGGGTAGTGGAGAATGAACTTTCATTTTCCATAGGAGGAATAGAGGATGTCTAAAATTAGAATTTTTATAAATTAAGCATATTATTTAGAATATAAAGGTTAATTCAAGGAAAAACTGACAAGAATTATTGCCTTTGGGGAAGGGGACCCTGGAATGAGAAGGAAAGGGGCAGTCTGCTATTTCTGATTCAGTTTCTGATTTTCAAACTCTTATGTGAGTTAATATTTTGATAGAAATTCAAGTTCAGTTATGAAAAACAAAAGCCATCTAAACTAAAACATGAGACATTTAACCAGGAAATGCTGGTGATGTATATTACTTACCACACTGTATAATTGGCTGCATTTAACTCAATAGCATCTCTGGTTAGTTTAAAAGCTCGTTCACTTCTTTCATCACGTTGCAGAACAGCCCGGAAATAATCATAAACATCTCTAACTAGAGACAAAACACACAAGTGCATTAGGACTATCCTTCTTGTTTAAAACTAGCACTATAGTGCAAAATGTTGTATCTTATGAGGAAAGATACCACTTTTAACAATAAGCCAAAGAGAGAAAATTAAATGCTACCCTCATGTCACAGCCACGATCTATGTGTGACCATGCTTTGTGTCACATGTACACACAGGTCTTAAAAGTCACGTTCCAATTCTCCCAAAAACCTAATTTATTAAAGTAAAATGAAGAGGGCATATATTCAAATATGTTCTCTTACCTGTTTTTCTCATATCTTTTTTGATCAATTTTTCGACTGAGAAGTAACATATAAAATGGTAGAAAACACAAATGGTACAATAAGGTTCACACTAAAATTTCCATTCCACTAAATTCCCAGTCCTTCTCCCAGAAGCAATACTGTTATTAGACTGTAGTGTATCCTTCTAAACATACTCTATGCACACATGTTTTGGGCCTTGCTTTTTCCACTTGTACATTATTTTTTTTCATTGAAGTATAGCTGAAACATAATACATATTGGTTTCAAGTGTATACCACAGTGATTTGACAGTTATCTACATTATTAAATAGTCACCCCAACTAGTGTAATGATCTGTCAACATAGAAAGATGTTACTCATACATTATTAAGGGGAATGCAGCAAGCACAAATCTCTGTATGGAAAACCATTTGATCATATCTATTAAAAATAAAAAATTACATACTCATTAACCCAACAGTTCCAGTTTCAGGAAGTTTTCTTACAAATATATTCCTATATTTTACCCAGTACACCCAAGGAAATTTACTAGAGTATTTGGTTATGTAAGACATGAAAAAAAAAAAAGAAACGTAACAACAGCACAAAGCCCCAACTTCTGTGGGACACAGCAAAGGCAGTTCTATGAGGAAAGTATATAGCAATCCAGGCTAGGAAGAACAATTCCGAATGAATAGTCTAAAGTCACAATTATTGAAACTGGAAAAAGAAGAACAAATGACACCCAAAGTCAGCAGAAGGAGGGACATACTAAAGATCAGAGGAGAAATAAATAAAATTGACAAGAATAAAACAATGGAAAAAAATAAATGAAACAAAGCTGGTTCTTCAAAAAAATAAACAAAAGTGATAAGCCCCTAGTCAGACTTATTAAGAGAAAAAGAGAATCTACAAACATCAACAGAATCTGAAAGGAGGAAGGAAAAATCACAACGGACCCCACAGAAATACAAAGAATCACTAGAGAATACTATGAGAATCTATATGCTAACAAACTGGAAAACATAGAAGAAATGGACAACTTCCTAGAGAAATACAACCTTCCAAGACTGAACAAGGAAGAAACAGAAAATCTAAACAGACCAATTACCAGTAGTGAAATTGAACCAGTAATCAAAAAACTACGCAAGAACAAAACACCTGGGCTAGATGGATTCACTGCTGAATTTTATCAGAAATATACAGAAGAAATAATACCCATTCTCCTTAGAGTTTTCCAAAAAATAGAAGAGGAGGGAATACTTCCAAACTCATTCTATGAAGCCAGCATCACTCTAATACCAAAACCAGGCAAAGACCCCACCAAAAAGAAAACTACAGACCAATATCCCTGATGAATATAGATGCAAAAATACTCAACAAAATATTAGCAAACAGAATTCATAACACATCAAGAGGATCATACACCATGATCAAGTGGGATTCATCTCAGGGATGCAAAGATGGTACAACATTCGAAAATCCATCAACATCATTCACCACATCAACAAAAAGGACAAAAACTACATGATCATCTTCATTGATGCTGAAAAAACATTCGACAAAATTCAACATCCATTCGTGATAAAAACTCTCAACAAAATGGGTATAGAGGGCAAGTACCTCAACATAATAAAAGCCATATATGAAAAACCCACAGCCAACATCATACTTAACAGCGAGAAGCTGAAAGCATTTCTTCTAAGATCGGGAACAAGACAGGGATGCCCACTCTCCCCACTGCTACTCAACAGAGTACTGGAGGTCCTAGCCACTGCAATCAGACAAAACAAAGAAATACAAGGTATCCAGATCAGTAAAGAAGAAGTCAAACTGTCACTATTTGCAGATGACATGATATTGTACATAAAAAACCCTAAAGACTCCACCCTAAAACTACTAGAACTAATATCGGAATACAGCAAAGCTGCAGGATACAAAATTAACACACAGAAATCTGTGGCTTTCCTATACACTAACAATGAACTAGCAGAAAGAGAAATCAGGAAAACAATTCCATTCACAATTGCATCAAAAAGAACAAAATACCTAGGAATAAACCTAACCAAGGAAGTGAAAGACTTATACCCTGAAAACTACAAGACACTCTTAAGAGAAATTAAAGAGGACACTAACAAATGGAAACTCATCCCATTCTCTTGGCTACGAAGAATTAATATTGTTAAAATGGCCATCCTGCCTAAAGCAATCTACAGATTCAATGCAATCCCTATAAAAATCCCTAAAGCAGCATTCTTCAACGATCAGAACAAATAGTTTTAAAGTTCATATAGAACCACAAAAAACTCTGAAAGGCCAAAGCAATCCTGAGAAGGAAAAATAAAGCAGGGGGGATCTTGCTTCCCAACTTCAAGTTCTACTACACAGCCACAGTAACCAAGACAATTTGGTATTGGCACAAGAACAAACCCACAGACCAGTGGAACAGAATAGTGTCCAGATATTAACCCAAACATGTATGGTCAATTAATATATGATAAAGGAGCCATGGACATACAATGGGGAAAT